TTCGAGCTGGAATGCCGGATTCCAGCTCGAAAAGCGGATCCCCAAGACAACCTTCATCACGGCCCCCTTTCAGGAGGGGTCCGCTTTTTCCGCAGAGACTGTGCTTTGTTTTTCCGCACATTTGGTTGTTTTTTTCCGCTCTGCGGGGTTCGCACGTTTTCCGCGCGCAGCGCCGAGCCTCCCAGTGGCACCCTGATCTTTTTTGGGCACCCCCTTTTTTGGTTCCTTTTTAAGCGGGATCTTGGGAGGGGGTAGGTACCGGGGGTTTGACCCGCAGCCTACTCCCCTTTTGCATCCACACCTGGGAAGCAATGTTGGAGGCATAGGCCTCGTGGGCCAGGATCCAAAAATGCCCAGCGCAAGAGCCCAACCATGGCAAACACACAACACAAGGGGGGGGAGGGGGGGAAGGGGCGGCCGCCCGCCAGAGCGCGCGCGCCATGCCACGCCAAGCCAAGCCAAGCCAAGCCGCGCCGCGCCACGCACAAACAGGTACACACACGTACACGCACGTACACACACGAATGCTCACGTACACATGCACATATATACATACATACATACATACATACATACATACATACATACATACATACATACATACATACATACATACATACATACACAAGTACACAAACAAACACATGCACAGACACGCGAACACACAGACAGACGGACAGACAGACACGCCAGGCAGGCTGGCCGGCAGGCAGGCAGGCATGCATACATCCATCCATGCATCCATCCAACCAGCCATCCATCCATCCGTCCATCCATCCATCCGTGCAAGCATGCACGCACGGGTAGACACATACGCACATACATACATGCATGCACACGCACGCACGCACACAGGCATACGTACATACATACATACATATACATGCATACATACATACCTACCTACCTACCTACTTGCCTCCCTGCCTGCCTACCTACGTACGTACGTACATACATACATACACTCACACACACACATGCATACATACATTACATTACATACATGACTTACAATACATACATTGCATTAACATACATGCATTAACATACATACATTAACATACATACATACATACATGACATACATGACTTACATACATACATACATACATTCGTTCATTCATTCATTCCTTCATTACATTCATTACATTCATTACATTCATTACATTCATTACACTCATTACATTCAGTACATTCAGTACATTCATTACATTCATTACATACATTACATTCATTACATACATTACATACAATACATACATTACATTACATACATTACATACATTACATACAATACATACATTACATTAACATACATGCATTAACATACATACATTAACATACATACATACATACATACATACATACATACATACATACATACATACATACATACATACATATTTACATACATACATACATGCATACATACATACATACATACATAGATACATACATACATACATACATACATACATACATTACATACATTACATACATTACATACATTACATACATTACATGCCTTACATGCAATACATACATTGCATACATTACATACAGTCCATACATTACATACATCACATTGCCTTACATTGCATTTGCATTGCATTACATTACAGTACATCACATCACAATACATTGCATTACATCACATCACATTACATACATGCCTGCATACATACATACATGCCTACATACATTACATGCATGACTACTAATATATGCATACATATACGCGTACGCACATACATTCATGCGTACGTACGTACACACATACACATACACATACACAGACACACAGACGCGCAGACAGGCAGACAGACGGACGGACAGACAGACAGGCAGACAGGCAGACAGACAGACAGACAGACGGACAGTCCAACATGTCCTTCCATACTGCCCCTCTTCTAATCATGGAAGTAAAGGCTTCCCTGAAAGGAAAGTATCGGCTTGCATCATTGTCGGGGCAAGGGGTGCACGCATAGGATGCATGGGTTTTCTACTTATCGAAACCGGCTAGAAGGACCATCAACTTACGTAACTCAGTTGTTCAGTGGCCCTCTTTTTCCTTTTTTTGTGGCCCCACTAAAATGGTCCAAGCCCCAAGAAGGGTTCCCTTTCTTTTCCAGGGTCACTGAACAACTTAGGTAAAGCTTCGTATTCAAAGAACCCATGGCCATGGGGCAGGCACAGAGCCTCAGGGAGGCCATGCGCGAGGCCGCGCGCGAAGCCCGCCAGGCGGGGGCTTTTTAGGGCCGGACGAACCACCGGCACGGGGAAACAGAATGCCCAAGGAAGTCTCTACTAGATCCCCCAGTACTGCCCTTTTACCAACTTCCCTACTAAAATAGACTACAGAGAAAAGGGTACCCTTATTCTAACCTCCCTACTGGAGGACCTAGTCTAAGAAAAAGACCGAAGAGTTCATTCAAACCCGCCAGTTTTGAGTGACCGCTGTTGACCTTTCCCATAAAACCTCACAAGTTTCTGTGTGACCTCTTCGACGTACCCCCTTTGGTGGGTTCTCCTATTTCAAGACAAACCAAAATGGCCTTTCCATTAAACCTACGAATGGTGATCGACCCTTTCCAGGGATCCTTCTTTTCAGAAAACCATCAAAACCCCAGGAGAAACAGCGATCAGTTTTTGAAAAGAACGATGGTTGAAAAGAATGGAATTGGAATCAACCCCTAGACTAATGCAATAAAGGGTTTCCAGCGATTAGTGCGGGCGGGATCATCGCTGGCTCAATTGTTCCTTTTTCAGTTACGCTCAGCATCCATCGACAGACTTCTCAGACTTGTTGGATCCGTGAGTGATCAAAATCCTGATTCGAAGTTAGCCAACCCTATCCTCGGTTGTTTGAACCAACCCCATAACTTGGTGGTTCCCAGCCATCCCCTTAGGTGTTTTAAGATTTAGCTGTGTAGGGTTGAGTGGGAGGTTTCATCCAACCCACGAAGAGTTAAACTTTTAGCACGGGATCTGAGGACAACCCAGAAAGGTCAGCACCAAGGCTAACTTGAAAGGTCAGCACCAAGGCTAGCTTGAAATCAGCCAAAACACATCAATCAAAGCAATGAATTTGTGGTTCTCAACAAATGAGGAGAGGACCCAGACATGAAGCATCCCCTGTGCTTTCCGATAAGGGGATCCAGTTCATTCCCGAAGCCGAAAATTCCCCGGAGTTGCAATATGTTTCCCTCGGCTGAACCTCGTGGTTTCTTCTAGGGCCAAAGTCAGAAGCAGATTCTTTGAGTTGGTGTTGACATGAACCAAGGGAAACCCCCACCCACCCCACCCCCAGCCCCACCCCACCCCCAACCCCCCCACCCCACCCCCAACCCCCCCACCCCACCCCCAACCCCCCCACCCCACCCCCACCCCATGCGACAAGACGAACGCCAGGCCTGGCTGCTCTTCAAAGAGCGAGGCGCGGGAAGGGAGCGACTTTCAGGCGCCAGGCTGGTAGCTGGGATCCGAATGAAAAACCCACGGCCTTTTGTATTCAGTTGGCACCCCCCCGGTTTTTGTTTGCCGTGTGTTGTTTTTCATGGTTTTGTCCTGTTTTTGAGGGGAAGCAAAAGCAAACCGAACACCGCCGCCGTTTGTTCTTTTTGGGTGGGGGGGGGGGGGGCACGAAAAGCGGTACCCAGAGAATGGCATCGGAAACGAAAGGGGCCAACACCTCGGAGAAACGAAAGGGGGTCGCAGTGATGTTGCTTGCCCAGATTGTAATAAATAACTGTCCAACTGATGTTAGGCTTAATCCAATTCGTACCTGCAAGGGTTTCATTTCTCCCGGGATTTTGTCCATCTACGTTGAAGTGGCATTGGCCCCATTGGCTCATCGGCCACGAAAGCAAATTCGAAGAACCCCTTCGTACTCATCCCATGGACGTGCCTATTTTGATGGACGCCCTACGTCCAAATGGGAGTGTCTTTTATTTGTTGGACCCCCGAATTGGTGGTTTTCCTTTTGTCTTCCCTTTAAAACCACAACAAAAGGTAGCAACTGCAAGAAAGACACCTCCAAAGCGCGAAACTCCAAGCATGTTTACACGTATTGCGCCATTTGCGGGGAGGGGACGGAGGTTTGTCCCATTTTCGGGAACCCATGGGAGGGTTGTCTTTGGTTTTCAATCCAAACCCAAAAAGGAGTGCCCAAAAAAGACTCGTTGCGGAGCAGAATGGAAGGCTACACACCAAGTGAACTCCGAGAACCGAGTTGGAGGGAACTGTTGCAGTTTGTCTCAAAGGGCAACCAAAGGGAATCCAAGGGCAAATAAAGGGAATCCAAATAAAGGGAGTCCAAAGGGAGACGAAAGGGGGGAAAACCATGTTCAAGTCCGCCTATTTTGAGACAAACGCAAGGGCATTGAAGTTACCTGCAAGAAAAGGGCCTGCCCACCACGGCTGAAGCCTATGATTGAAACCACTTTGGCCTTATCTTCAGGCTCAAGTGAAAAGGTTGAAGTAATGCAGGTAGGTTGACCACTAACCAAGTTGAGCTTAAGTGCCAAAGCCCCATTGTATGGATTGTTTTGGGTTCGCATCACCCCTCAAAAGACGCTGCAATATCAAGCTTCTGCACTGGACAACCCGAAGAATTCGTGTCTTTTGCAGACTTTGGGATTTTGACTGTCGCGGTCAGATGCGGTCAGATGCGGTCAGAGCTGGTTGGCGCTTTTCCTTTGACGTCGTCAAGCGAATGCACCCCTTGGAAGGTTGATGGGGACCCTGTTTTGCCAACCCCCAAGCCTGGTCTTTATACCTTCGCCTTTCTTCTTGGTCGGCCCCAGAAATGCCTTGGTGTCTTTGTTTGAGGGGACCCCAAAAGTGGTTTCCCAGGGGTGCCCCTTGAAACCAACCCCAATGAGGGTACCCCCCAAAAAAAAGTACTGACACATGTGTGCCCCAGGAGGGCCCGTGACGCCAGGCGACCCCAGCTTGCTTTTTGAGGCGGCGAAAAACTGCCGCGGCCTCTGATTTGTCGCGTCAAATGTCACAGCCCAGAATACTACTTTTCACGTCTTGAAGGGAGACCGCAAGAAAACCAATCCGGGGGGAGCTAGTCAAGCTTTCCTTCCTCTTGTGGATGGATCAGGAAGTTCAAGCACCATTGCCAAGATCCCAAAGTGTGCTTCGGGGGCCGGACCCCTTGGTACCCACATTGAGGTCTTGCGGCTGTCAAAAAGCATCTCCTTTCATCAGGCGCCCGAATTGAATGAAGGTTTATCAGCGGCACCACTCACTTTGAAGCATCGAGGGAAACGCCGGACAAATGCGTAAGGTTTGGGTCAAACCCAGACAATACCCTGGTGTTTCTGGGCGCTTTGCAAGAGCGCCCGGTAGTTGAAGATTAGGAAGTCACTCCGGATACGGCTGTGGGAAGATTCCTTGTACAACAGGTTGCAAGGGTTCCCGTTATAGCAAGGGGGTTGGGGGTCAGCATGTGTGCGCGAGATGCGTCGGTGCGTTTGCGAGCGCCCCTGTGCGCAATTCGTAGCTTGTGCGAGGTTTCGTGCCGTTTCGCTGCGCAGGAGCAGTGTGTTTGTTTTGGAAAGTTTGTCAAAGTCACTCTGGCGCTGCAGTTTTATGCTGACTTCTGACACGCGTCGTAAACGTGTCAAAGTGGGACTTCGTAGCAGGCGCGGCGCTTTGAGCACTTTTTGCTTCGTCTGAAGCTCGCCTTCGTGACAGGTCACACATCGCATTTCGTGCCAGGCACAGCATGTTGGAGCGCATCTCGCTGGAGGCACTGCTTTGTGTGGCAGGCACAGTACTTCGGAGGGTCACGCGCAGATTTCGTGGCAGGCACAGCAAGTGCGCAGCAGCTTAGAGAACATGGCGCTGACTTCATGCGAGCACTGTGGAGCATGTCTGCTCTGTGTGGCAGGCACAGTACTTTGGAATGGAAATTCGGGACAGGCGCAGCACTTTGCAGCACGACTCCCAGGAGAGTCGATGTCTGCCGCAGGCGCAGGAGGGTAGATAGAAAGGTTTGACAAATAGAGCGGCACACAGACATATAGACAGAGAGATGAACAGAGACAGCAGCTAGACAAGCAGATTGGCTGGACAAACAGATCGGTGCGCAGAAAGGTACGCCATACCGGTCGGTTGCTGCGATTGATTGGTAAGATAGCTGATCAGATTTGATTGGACAGATGGGGAGATAGGTAGATAGCCGAGATAGCGCGGCTAGCTGTGAAGATAGACCAACAAATCGGCTGTGAAAGAAACAAAGAGGGAAAGAAAGAAAGGAGAAGAAAGTTGAAGGAAAGGAAAGCAAAAAGAGCAAAAAAAAGAAATAAGGAAAGACAGAAAGGAAGGCTGAAGACAGGAGCGGAGGAAGCCAAGAAAGAAAGAATGAATGAAAGAATGAAAGCAAGAAAGCAAAAAAGAGAGCAACAAGGAAGAAATAAAAATAGAAAGAGAACCGGAACGAACATAAAAGAGGGCAAGAAAAAAGAAGCAAGGCAGGAAAACAACAAAGGAAGGAAAAGAAAGAAGAAAGGAAAGAAAGGAAAGGAAAGAAAGACAGAGAAGAAATTCAAAAGGAACAATGAAGAGAACACATAGACATATCGATAAGGATAGACGAATGGGCAGAGGAGAAAGGTAGAGGAATGGTTAGATACTTAGCTAGACAGATAGGTAGAAAGCTAGACAATCAGATACTGTAGATAGAAGGGTAGGTGACTAGAAGTACACAAGCATAGATGCACAGATGGGTTGATAGACAGATGAGTAGGTAAACACATGGATGGAAGTACAGGTAGATGCATGGATGAATAGATAGCTGGATGGTCACATAGAGAACTCAATACGTCAAAGGCAGGTAAATGGATAAGCAGAGACACACACAGAGAGACAGGCCACGCTAACTTTGGCCAATTCATCTGCAGCCAAGATCGCTGCGACATTGACCGAATTCATAGCTTCTGAGGAAAATTCCCTCGAAGCCCCCCACCTTTCAAGGAGATACCACAAATCCCATCAACTCACGTGCCAAAAAAGAGTCCGGTTCGGGCCCTGGTCCCAACCAAATCCGAGGACCATGGCCCCCTTTTCCGCGCGGTTCGACGCGGGGCTAAGGCCACGATGCCCAGCACCAGTTCGATGACCAGAACGTGCTGCTCTTGCGGCGCCTCTGAGCGATCAGCGATACGCGGCTCGGGGGCAAGTCGCCCGCACCCAAAGGGTGCCGATTCGGTTCCTTAGCCTTTTAGCTTTTTAGTGTTTAGTGGTAGTTTCCAGATAACCCACTAAAAGTTAGTCACTTTTAGGGGGGTGGCCCAGGTTAGGGGGTCCCTGGTTTCACGGTTTTCATGAGGTGGGGGAAATAAAGAAACCATCGCCATGCTGGTGCCAAGAGATGTGGCTCAGTGAGAAGGCAACCGGGTATCGGGTTCAGAGGCGAGGTGAAGTCAGCAGTTACTCCAAGCCTTTCAATTTCCGAATTTCAGGCCAATCTCCGTTTTGAGAAGTCCAAACTTGGTGGTAACACGTCCCCAGTTCAATGCCAGTCGCATCCAAAAGAGACATAGGAAAAGGTCCTTTTGCCCATTTTTTTGGTTGCGCCGTCAAGCAATGTTTGGACAACCCCAGTTCATCCCTTTGCCCGAATGACCAAAGCAGATTTGGGAGAAGAGGGGGGTCTCGTATAGAAATCCATTTCTTTTGGAGAAAGCGCGCTTTCGTGGGTACAGTAAATGTCAAAATGCAATGAAAATTGGTGGTGTTCCTTTTGGTGTCTCCGGAAAAAAAGAAAAAAATGACAAGGATGCCATCACATGTTCTGTTGACCGCGGCCGAAAAGGGGATCCCTAAAAATGGAGGATTGACAAGGAGGCCATTTTTTCTCCCCCGGCCCCTTTCCGGGGTGGTTTTGCTGCAACGCCCTTTTGGGGGGTGGGTGGGGGAGGGGCTGGCGGGGCTGGCGGGGCTGGGGAGGGGGGGGGGTTGGGTTGGGTGGGTTGGGTGGGTTGGGGGGGGACGTCTTTCGTCCACGTTTTTTTGGCTGGACAGGGGCGCGGCCTGTCCGCCGAGCCGAAAGTCAAGGAACATCCCAGCGTCGCAGGGGTCCACAAACCCGTCGGCGAGCTCTTGAAACCGCCCAGCCCAGAGCCTCGTCGAAGAATTTGAGCCTCTGGCTTTGGAGTCGGGCGCCAATCAACCTCAAGTTGACCAGATGGTTTGGTGGCCCAAGAAACTGGGCTGTGCTTTGGTGTTAGTTTCTGCTTAGAAAAACAATCGCCATTTGTCAGAGCTACCAGTATTGAGGTTGTGCTTGGGCCTGACCTTGGCAGGGAGTGCGGGAATGCGTGACCAAAAGGCTGTCTGAGTATCAAGCTTGCCCCATCCCCGGTCGCAGCCTTGGCAGCCTGGTTTCCGGGTCTTGAATCACCCGGGGCCGCGAAAGCTGGCTGATTCCGGCGGAGAGGAAAAAAGCAGGGCGAAAGCTGCGAATAGAGGTCTAGGCAAGTTGGAGGTAGGTGCTTCCAGTGTTGTTTGAGCGGGCGAATTTATCAGCACAAAGTCGTCCCTTTTCCCTGTCGTGTGTGTGTGTGTGTGTGTGTCTCTGTGTGGTTGTCTTTTCCCTTTTTGGCATGGGTTTAAAGAAGCCAAAGGAAAAAGCACATTTTTTTGCGCCGGGGAATGCGGGCCGATTTTAAGACACCCACGTGTGCGCCGAAATAGACCACGGGCGTTCCAAGTGGATCCAGCGCCATCGCCAGCGCCGAGCAGCTCGCGGTCATCACCGCGGGTGGTTTTTTTTCCAGGCAAAAGTTGGATGTCGACACGCCCAAAGGGGGGCTTTCCGCAAGAAGATCTGGCAAAAAACCGATGTACCGTTGGGATCTGACAGTTGCAACTTGATTTTTGAGTCAAGAATCAGACGTGGGGCTGACTGACACGGAGGGCTCTTATGGGGTGAGCGGCGCCATGGCCAATGCTCCCGAGGCGGTGATCCGAAATGGCGAAACGCGAACACGCCTGCTCTCACGGCGAGTTGCGACATGAATCGGTCCCTTTCAGTGAGCCGTAATTCACCCAGCTGTGTTTGAAGCGCGTGAAACGAGAATATTTTGTTTGCCTCCCCAAAGAGGGGAAGGTGAATATCGCCACATGTCCGGCATCCGATTCCGATTTGGGGTGAACTCTGGTTTTTCTATGACCCCCCAGCCATGTCTGTTTTCTCTCGAAGCAAGTTCTTCTTGAATGTTCCAGTCCGATTCCCCTTTTGTTGTTGGGAGACATTTTACCTTTTTGCTTATTGTGGTTTGGCTGAAATCCAAGCACTGAACCGCGAAAGTTCGATGTTTCCCCTCCCAACCGTCCAGCGAGCTTTGGTTCAGTGAACGCCTCGCAGGCGGTGACTTCGCAGGCGCGGAGCGGAGGGTCGACCGCGAATGAACTCGGTAGATTTTGACTGGCTGGCGCCAGAGGGAATGACCAGGTGTTCATAGTTTTGTTTTTTTTGGCGGTCGAAAAATAGACAACCATTCCTGGAGAACACCTGGTGGTTGTATCATCTAGGGTCATCTATTTGCCCTAAAAGGACACCTATGTAGGTGTTGGGAATGAACAGTTTGTGGATTGCTGAAAGGAAAGCATAGGATGGGTGGTGAAAATGGGTTCAATGCTAACCGGCAAGATGAAGCGATGTGTGTCCTGAGTTGCTTGCATCTATTGGAGCCCCTGGTTTACCTGGCGAGGGCATGGGTTTGTCTCAAGAGCCATGGTTTGAAAGGCATATACAAAGGAAAGCAGTGGCGAGTTGGGCGTGCTGAAATCTGGTTGAAGCCATTCCTTTGCAGCTTCCTTTGCGCTGGTTCTCTTTGCTGCCGTTCCGTTGCATCAATATTGAAGGCGACCGCAAGCCAGCATGTCCATCGGTGTAAGCAGCTTTGGTCTACACCCGGAGTAGTTGGTTCCCGTCATGGGGCTTATTTCAAATCAGCTCAGGACTCACTCCGACAATCTCCGACAATCATATGTTCCACCTAGCGCTTTGGAATCCGCACCAAAAAAAATCGTGAGATCATGATCTCACTTCCTGAGTTGGTGGACTTTAAACTTTTTGGAAAGACCATTTAGTGGTGAATAAAAAGTTCAAACTTTTTTTGGCCAGTCAACTTGGGAAGTGAGTGATCTGATCAACACCGGAGAGGCGTTTAACGGAGAAACCGTCTGGAGAAGCCGTCTGAGTTTGTTGAGATGGGAATTCTTTGGCCCAGGTCGAGAAGGCGGGGCGTCGCGGTCTCGAGGGGTTTCGAGCAAGGGCCAAGAGAGTGCCCAACAGGTGGGGCGTGGGTCTCTTGTTTTGTTTTTTTGTTTTTGTTGTTTGTTTTTTTTGTTGGGGGGGGGAGGCGTTTGCAGGTTTTGAAGGTTGGGAAGGGGGGAAGCCTTTGGAGGTTTGGAAGGGAAACCAGGGAAATCACCATGTTCCAGATATTTGGAACCCGAGTCGCGGCCTGAAATGGTTGGGTTGACATACCAAAAGCTCTGAAATCTTTTTGGAGAAACACTAATATGCGTACGGGAAATCTATTCGTTGCCTATGAACAGTTTACCCTCCATCCCCAGGGAGCGATTCTCAGTAGGGACACATATACAAAAAAAATGAATATACGTCCACAGCGTGTATACACGCAAGGGTTGGATATGTTTGGTTCATCATGCCTGAGAAGAGAGAGAGAGAGGCAAAAGGCAACATGCTGTTCGTGTTGGCTCCCTTTGATGGATTCAACTTGATTCATAGAATTAGGACACAAGCCCGCAGATATGGCTGGTTTGCGCGTTCCTTGGAGATTTTTTTTAAATAGCAGGGAGTATGGGAATTGCACACCAACCACTCTCTATTTGTGGTAGAAAGAGAGGTTTGCACCATATTACTGCCCGGAGAAAGCAAAACATGCAGGTCACCAGATGTGTCTCATGTGTATGTTTTTTCCACTGGTTGCTTTGACCAGTGCGGCATAAAACTTCTGAGGCTGGTACTGTTCCTCGGATCTTTGTGCCATTGATGCAAAAATTCGCGATCGAGTTCCCCGGAAAGTGCTCGGGCCGAAGAGTTGATTGGGCTGGCGCGCCTTTTCTGGAGACACATAGCCCATGCCGCAAGAAAGCCCCCATTTGGGTATAGGTTCTGCTACCTCCGTTGGCTAAAGTTTTTCCGAACAAGAAAAAACATCCTGTAGTGACAGAGTCCCTTCAAAGCCAGCCGAAGCACTTTTAGGATTTTCTGGACCCTGTTTGGGTTTGTTTTGAACGTGCGTTTTGTGGGGAAAAAACATTTTTAGTGGGAATTAACAAAACGTTTTCTGGAAGGAACACCACCAAACAGTGGGGTCCATTTGACATGCCCTTTTGTGCCATGAGCATTGCTCCAGACAACCGCCCACTCGGCTCTCAGCACAGCTCCAACGCCACGCTGTAGCGACTCCGAAGGCTTTGCCCAGTCGGATCTTGCGTCATGGCGCCTGCAGAGATCTCCACCATCACCGAGACGGAGAACGGCGCCGCATTTGAGGCGAGAGATTTTTGTTCACGGGGTTTCCTTGGCTCATTTGTGAGATCTGACTCAATTTGGCTGTGGGTCAAAAATATACCCAAAATGGATCCCTGGTAAATGGAAACATGAACATTCAAACCTGCGGTCCAATTCCTGGAGGATTAATTTTGACCCATACCCATTTGAAGGGCCATGGCTTCAAAGCCCACGACGGCCGGTGTTTGAGAGATTGGCCGGCCTGGCGCCCCCCTTTCGCCTCGCATGGGCAGGTGCAGATCAAGAGCCCTGGTGCCGACAAGCGCCTCGTCTTTTTTTGTCATCAAATTTCAGGAACCGGTTGGGAGGGTCTGAGTGCGAAAGCATTTGAAAGAGGAGGTGATGGGGAGGCTCTCAGCCGTGTTCCTGGAGTGCTGTATCATTGGCATGTTTGCTTGTTGTTTGCGTGTGCAAGAACCTGAAGGGTGCGTCATAATCTTCCTGAATGGTGCAAACCATTATACAAGGCCAAGTGAACCGAGGCCGAAAATTGGGGATCATTAAAATTGCCTTTGAAATCCCTTTGTGGAGTGGAACCGGCCAATTTTTAGACTGGTTCCCCCACCATGTTTGGCCCATGAACCAGCTGCGCCAAAACAAAATGCATGTCCACAACGTCAACATACATGCTCTCAAGACGCTGCCGTTTGCAAAACGAAGCTTTCAACACGAGAATTTGCAAGCCGGGTGTTTGGATTCGACTCGCTGTACAGTTGTTGAAAGGGGAAGCATGGTTGGAAAGCACTCACTGACCAAAGTGATCAACCTGGCAGTGTCTTGCACTGCGGGGGTGTGCACTCGCGCTCCGACTCCCCACGCCGGCGCTTCGGAAATGGTCTGGGAAAGACAAACGGCCTCAGTCCCTGAGTTCCTGGGCTTGAGTCGCTTTTTGGGAAATTCTAGCGGAAAGCACACAGGTTCAGACATTGGCCGATCCACTCGCTCGGCTCCGAGCCAAAGGGCCGGCAAGAGCCACGAGAGCCAGCCTGTTCGCGCCACGACGGCCACGCCCGTCTTGGGCGGCTTCCCCAGTTTTGGCAACCAGCGCGATGTTTGTACCAACCCGCAAGAAAGAAACTGCAAAAAACAAATCGTGGGGTTTTCCCACCTGAAAGAACGAACCTGCAGCCCGGCGCGTTGCTTCCCAGCGCGCACGCGGCCCGTGCGCTGAGGTTGAAGACGGCCGCCCGGCTCCGCCTGGAGTCCTACGACGAGAAGCCGAAGCCACTGCCCATGCTGCTGGGGGCCCGCCACCCTCCCATCAGCGTCGTCCGCGGCGACAAGGCGAGAACTCGATTTCGCAGCAAAACACCCGGGAGATGGACTTTTTTTGGCGTAAACATGTCTTTTTCCGTCACTCAGCTTACACTCGCTGGCTTGCACATACTCTCACTCACTCAACTTACACTCAACTTACTCTCACTCACTCACTCACTCACTCACTCAACTTGCACTCACTTTTCCAACAGCCAGGCATGTGGGGTTATCCGGTCCTCCAATTTTGGCGGAACCACCAAAATTGTGGTTTTCCTTTTGGTGTCCCTGTAAAAGCCAAAAAGGGAAAGCCAGGAATCCATTTTGAGAGGATTCTTGGGGCAGCTTGGTAATGTTTTGTCAGCTTGGATGTTCATAGCATGCTCTATTTGGCAAGTGCGGTCAGAACTCAAGTCACAAGGTTCTCCCGAGAGGCTCCCTCATTCTTAAGACACTCAAAAGCATGAAAATGGTGATGTGTTAAAAGTAGTGGTGCTTGTCTTTTGGATTTCTCCTTAATCCAACCCACCCACCCCCCCCCCCAAAAAAAAAAAAACATAGGCACAAACCCAAGTGGGATCCATGCCCATGCCCGGGTCGCAAGCCTTGATGATTTGGCAGGCCCGTCAGCAGAACGAGCACAAGAAGGAGGTGGTCGAGCGCGCCCGTGAGGAACTTCAGCCACTTAGCGACTTCTGAGATAATTATTTGTGTATGACGAGTTTGTCTTAAGATAGGAATCGATACCTCTGTGGTGGCTTTTCTTTGGCTTCCGTGACAAAAGCATCCCACAAATGAGTACCCCCCAAAAAGACACACCCACTTTTGTATAATTATTATTATTAGTGTTATTATTATTAGCATTATTGTTATTATTATTATTTTATTATCTATTTATTATTATTATTATTATTATTAGTAGTAGTAGTAGTAGTATTATTATTAGTTTATTATTAGTTTATTATTATCTTATTATTATCTTATGATTATTTTATTACTATTTTATTATTGTTATATTATTTTTATTATTATTGGTTTATTATGTTTATTATTATTATTATTAGTAGTATTATTATTAGTAGTAGTAGTAGTAGTATTATGATTGGTATATTATTTTTATTATTATTTTTTTATTATTTTTATTATTATTATTATTATTATTGTTATTATTATTATTATGTTCATTATTTTCATTATTATTATTATCATTATTATTATTATTATTATTATTATTATTATTATTATTATTATTATTGTTATTATTATTATTATTATTTGTTATTATTATTAGTATTATTATTATTATTATTATTATTATTATTATTATTATTATTATTATTATTATTAGTATTATTATTATTATTATTATTATTATTATTATTATTATTATTATTATTATTATTATTATTATTATTATTGTTTATATATATATATATGTTGATACCAGAAGTAAATGGGGAGTGAGTTTCTATGGAAAGTGACTGTGTGTGTTTGTTGACTGCGTGTGTGCCGGCGTGTGGATGTGTGTATGATTATGTTGTTGTTTTTTTTGATGTGTGTGTGTGTCACTCTGCGCACGATATTGCGTGATGTGTGAGTGTGTACATAATATTGCGTGATTGTATATAGAGAAAGAGAGAGAAAGACATACTTTTTGCGTGACTGCGTGTTTGTGCTCGTGTTTGTGTGTGTGTGTTTCTCTCTTTCTCTCTTTCTTCCTTTATTTTGTTCGTTCTTTCTTTCTTTGTCTCTTTGTGTCTTTCTTTCTTTCTTTCTTTCTTTCTTTCTTTCTTTCTTTCTTTCTTTCTTTCTTTCTTTCTTTCTTTCTTTCTTTCTTTCTTTCTTTCTTTTTTTTTTCTTTCTTTCTTTCTTTCTTTCTTTCTTTCTTTCTTTCTTTCTTTCTTTCTTTTGTTTCTTTGTTTGTTTGTTTGGTTGTTTGTGCGAGTCTCTGCATGTGTGTGTGTGTGTGTGTGTGTCTATGTGTGGCTTGTGTTTCCTGTCCACCTGTCGAGTTCGCCAACCTGGAACTCTGTGCTTTGCGGATACCGTCATCGCGTTAAGTCTGCAGAAGCCCAGTTTGCTCGGGCAACAAACTGCGGGCAGAAACTTTGTGCGGTGTCTTTGCGTGCTGCTCGCTTCTGTGTTTGTTGCCGTTGGTTTTCCGATCGCCCAGCAAACAACACACCAGGGCAAGCCAGAGTGTGGCCTGGTCTTCTTCTTTTTTTAGCAAGCAGTATGCTCCACAAGGGGTTCTTGCAGGTTTGCTCCAGCGCACGGACCATTTTGACTTCGACTCGCCGCGTACGGGGATGGGGGTTAATGTGTTCAACCGTGGCAAAAGTCATTGTGTTAGCTTGAACAGCCTAAGGGTCCTCAGATTTCCCGAAATGGGTGGGAATTGAGTGTATTGAGTTTCTGTTTTGGGATGTGTGTGATCAAATGAGCCCTGGATCTTTATCGGGATAGTCATAGAGACCAACTGGCTGCCTCGTCAATCCATGACCGTGCCAAACAGAAGTTTCGACCATGGCACATATAAGCAAAAACTGGTCGACGCAAAAAAGGACAAGAGCTTGAATTGTTTTTGGGGTCCCTCCCCCATTGTGACAGATACATACAGACCCAAATTCTGAACCAAGTTTGGTCGACACATAGGCAAGGACCCAACCAATTGTCCCATGGCACACATGGGTGTGTCCTTGCTTGAGGTGTTGGAGTGGTGGTTTTGAAGCCGAAACCACAAGGAAACTGATCATTTTCAGGGGTACCCTAACCGCTAAAGCCACCCCAAAAGAGTATCATCCCAAACATGGCCCACCCAAAATCATCGAATTTGTATCCGTGGAGCCACATAGTTTTCCCCCACAAATGCCAGGGCCACTAAAAGCCCGCTAGTGTCATATACCTTCAGGGGGTTACCAAAAAACCGCCATGGCACATACGGGTGTGTGTTTCTTCTCGAGGGTGGCTTTGTTGGAAGGGGTTTCAAGCAAAACCAGAAAGAAAACTCACCATGTTTGGGGTACCCCTCTTGACGCCCAGACACTCCATGTGAATTTCTTTTAAGTGGGGCCCTGTGGACAAAGGAATTGATGTCACCAGTCCTATTTCAAGCCGCACATGAGCCACGTGCTCAAAACCCGGGTAGAAGGTGAGTAAGGGGCGGTACCAGCCTTCTAACCTCTCAGACTGAGGAGCACGGCGGATGCCAAGCGCCAAGGCCTCGAGCAGCAGCTGGAGAAGGCCACCGAGATCCGCGAAGGCGGGCCCCGGGTGGTTGGTTAAGGTGTTCCGTTTCGAACATAGGTATCAACCAAACATTCTGTTTCACCCTAGTATGAATCAACCCCAGTTTATTGTTGGTTCTCTTCCTCTTTTTAGGGTAAGGGTTGGTGAACAGGCCACATTGGTGTCCTTTTTAGGATGACTCCATAGTATGAATCAACCCCAGTTTATCAAGAGGGGTGCCGGGCGGGTTTTTGGTTCTCTTCATTTTTAGGGTCAGGGTTGGTGAACAAGTATGAATCATAAAGGGTTTAGCAAAGGGCTGGTAAACCCCATGTATCTACATTAGTGGGGATTGGGATGTTCATTGGGGGTACGGGCTTCTGACCGATGGCCACATAGGTGTCCTTTTTGGTGGTTTTGGTAGGAAAATAGATGGCGATTCCTGGTGTACCTGGTGGTTTAATCATCTGCCAGGGCCATCTATTTGCACCTATGGTTTCAACCGTTTCTCCTCGACGTTCCGGGTTTTTTCAATCTGCGAATCGCAGCTTGGGTGTCGGCCCACACCTGGTAAATGGTATAGACTGACACCTGCGGTCCGGATGGCTGTTGAGTTTTGTTCCTTGTTGCAACCAGGGATTCTTCTTCCCCTGGGCCTCTTGGACCACCCTTAGGGACTGCATAGCTCGCTTCCTGGACTTTCACTTTTTGGGTTTGGTAGACCCCATGGTTTGCCTTTTGGGTAACCTCAACACTTCAAAAAACGGGGGACCCTCAACAAAAAGGACAGGCCCAGTTTCCCCAAAAGGAAACCAAAGGGGATGGGAGATCTGCTATTTTCCAGACACAGGATCGTATGATATGTCGATGTGTGTGGTGTGTGTGCTTTTAAAGGAGCCCCTTCTTGGGATTGGTAAAAGGGAAGCCTGATTGAAAAGCCACCCACTTTTCTTGACGGATTCCATCATTTACAGGCAAACCCATATGGGGTTGTAGGTGAATCCATAGAGTGGTTTGGTAGAGTGATATTGTAAGCAAGCGTGTGTCTGCCTGTATGTATGTATGTATGTATATATATATATATATATATATATATATATATAAATATATATATATATATATATTTGTATGTCGGTGCGTGCCAAAACTTCCAAGCGCCAACCGAAGAGGCCGGGTCAATGGAGTCAGGGCAATGGAGTCAAGAGGGTGAGGCGCAAGGCCCAGGCGTGATCACAGTCGAAGCAGCTGTATCCCGAAAAAAGAGGTGGGTTCTCAACATAGGTCCCCCCCACTTGGCTTCCTTTCCCCAACCACCAAAAGGTGTGTGTGTGTGTGTGTGTGTGTTGTGCGAGTGTGTTTGAGGTTTTCCAAGATGTAGGTTGCGTTTTCCCTCTGGCATCTCTTTGATTCGTTTTCCGTGGACCAAAACGGAACGGAGCACAAGAAAGGGACTTAGGCGCCACTGAACCGGGAATCGCCCCAAGGTGGGTCTCAGTAAGGGCGCCAAAGGCATGGGCTTGCTTTTTGCCAATGCTTCACACCCACGAATTGGCACACTGGGTAACTGGATTGCTTTGTTCCCAAGCCTGATTACCCTCTTCCCAACAAGCATGGAAGTGAACAGAAGGGCTTGAGGCGAACTACCAGCAGCTGCGGGTTGAAAAACCTCACCTAGAGACGAACTACCAGCAGCTGCTGGATGAAAAACCTCACCCTGTAAAAAAAAAGAAGAAAAGTTTTAGCAGGGGGAACCCAAGCGGGTTTCCCCGCCGCTCCCTGGCGCTCCGCTGCAGGCGCCCTAGAGAGCCGCAAGAAGCGCGCAGCCAAGCACTATGAGAAGGCCTCGGGACCAAGGGAACCCAGGCGTCGGCGTGGGTTGTTGTTGGTTTTTTTTTGAGGGGGTCTTCCCGCTGGTTGATGGTTTTCCTACTGGTTTTTCCTACTGGTTTTTCCGGGAGAGGTTTTCCTACTGGTTTTTCCTACTGGTTTTTCCGGGAGAGGTTTTCCTACTAATTTTTCTTACTGGTTTTTCCGGGAGAGGTTTTCCTACTGGTTTTTCCGACTGGTTTTTCCTACTGATTTTTCCGGGAGAGGTTTTCCTACTGGCTTTGTTGTAGGGGCTTCATTTGTTTTGGTTGGTGGTTTTGCAGGGCTTGTGGTCTCCACAGGGAGGGCGTCAGTAGGAAAACCACCAGGAAAACAAGTTGGTTGCCTCCATTTGCTGAAATAAAAATTGTTTTTTTTCCCATTGTTGGCTTTAAAAGGAATTCATCGCTACTGGACATAGTTGTTTATTTTAACCTGGGGCCTTAACCAATTGAATGGTCGGTATTTAGCAGGGCTTGTTGTGGTCTCCACGGGGCTCCACGAGGCTCCACGTGAAGGAAAACCAAAGCAAGTAGCAACACAACCATAGCTCCCTAAGTTTGAGAACCCAAATCCGGCTTCAGAAGGTTTGTAGAGGTCCCTTGCCCGTGGCACAACAAAAAGATGAGAGATGTCCCCGCATGGAAAAAGTTACCCATGGTTGTTTGGGGGACAGGAATATAAATCAGCCCCCTGTTAAATGTAGAGTGTATGGAATTCCCCATCCACGGGCCAGGGTCCATGATTCGACTAGGCGAATCCTGTAAGAGGAGCTGTGCCGGTTCTTCTCTTGTCATTTGTCCCAGAGAGCTAGCGTTCAATTAGTTGCCGGAATACGGAAGTTCCTTCCAAATGTTCTTTGACAACTCATCCTTCCCTTATTTTGTTCGTGTTCAATCATATGACGATTGCGGAAGACAAGCTAGCAGGGAGTTTCTGAGGCACGCAAAAGGGTCCACAGCTGCCCCAGGGCGTCTTGTTCCCGTGATTCTTGGGGTTGCTTTTAGAGTTCCCTGGGCCTTCGGGCTTTCTGGTGTCGTTCAGGGTGGGGCTGCTTCTGATTCCCCAAGAGGGCTCCTCAAAATGCTCTCTGGTGCGGTTACTTTGGATTCAAAGTGCCACAGTTTCCCCAAACCATCCTTTTCCCGTTTTGTTGGGTGGCCCTTCTTCTTCAGCCACCAAAAGCTGGCTGTCTCCCTTCTGCCTCCGGGTCTTCTTTCGGTTTCCAGCGACCCGTTCCGTTCCGAAAAAGACCCGACCTCTGGCCGAAAACCGGCTTCGGCCTCGGCTTCCTCACCAAAACGTGGCCAAAACCTCCCAGCAGCTGGCCGCTCCCAGCTGAGAGGTCATGGAGAAGAAGGGCTCCACGGAGCAGCGAGGTTTGATGACCGCCGCCGAGGCACAGAAGCGCCTGGAGATGCTGCTGGCGCAGAAGGACGCCGGAGTCGGGTGGGGCGAGGAAGGGGAAGGGGAGTCAGGTCTCGATGGTGTGAGGGTGTGAGCAATGTTTGGGTCGGTTTTGGTGCTTCCAGCCGACAAAAATGGCCGAAACACCCCGAAGCAGCGCTGTGGGAGTGTTGCGATGTGGCCCAAGATCACCTTATTTGGGGAGGGGGCAAGACGAGTTCGTAGGGTCGATAAGTTGGCCACTTTAGCAAGTTGTGGTTTTCGCATGCATTCCAAGGTATGAGTGAACTTGCAGCATGTTGAAGCCTTGGAGAAGCCAGCGTCAATTCGAAGATAGATTTGACAAGCCTCGGGATATCTTTGTTGCATTTTGCCAACGGATGTTAGGACTTTAACTTCTTGCCAACTAATGGGTTGTCCATTAAACCACTAAAAGTTAGTCACTTTTAGCAGGGGAGCAGAAAGAAACCGAGATATGTAAGTGCCAAGCCCTTAGACATGGAAGGTGCTCATAGCCGCTGGAAATGATACGTTGATCTCTCAAACGATGCCAGACGCGTGTTTCTTTTCTACGCAAGCGCCTTTTCCAAGTGACGGGACGCAACGGAACCGCCGTCCACCAGGCCTAGTCTTTGGTTTGCTTTCCAGAGGTGCGAGTAGGAGATCCACATTTTGCTCAGCAGCTGAAAGCTATCGCCCAGAAAGGCGCTAAGGGGCGTTCAAAAGGAGGGTACAAGGTCCGCTGGTCGCCATGCCACCTGAGCCACAATCAAAACCAGGGTAGATGAAGGTGAGTAAGGGATGATCCCAGCCATAAATAGCTGCTGCCGCCTTCTTAATTCTTGAAGCATGGTTCTGGGTCGACCATTTTTGTACCAGGTTTTGATTGCGACTCTGGGCTTTCTCGATGTCGGCAAATCCGAGAAGTGGGGGCAGCTGGGCCATGACTCTCCCACGGCTTCCGCTCAGGAGGAGCTGCGTGGCGCGAGCCTGGCGCAGCGCACCGCGAAGGCGAACAAACACAACGAGCAGGTGGCAGACAAGGCGCGGGACCCGGGGACCCGTTCCGGACTTGGCCCGTTTTGGGAGGATTGGATGGGCACGGAGAGGAGCCCTGGGCTTTGGTAAGATGTTCCCAGCTAGCACCCAGGTGTCAAGCGTCGCCTCTTGCTTGGCAACTCGCTCAAAGAACACCAGCGGGCGGTGAGGTCAGTCAACATGCTCACATGCAACCGTGGCCGTTTGGGCCATCAATCACGCAGTTTGCTGATGGGCAAAATCCACTTGGCACCATTTGAGATGGATAAAACTGAAATCACGGAACAAGCCACCTATCAACTGCAACCTTTTGTCCATCAACCGTAGCAGCTTCCGCACAAGGTTCGTGCATTGCCCCTTTCGGCAGGTAATCAGGCGATCACTCAGCGAGCTTGTGGTCTTCATTTCCATGTTTCCCACTTGACTCACTGAACGGGGCAGTAGGGGGAAACCTCCAGAAAAAGGAAGGGGAATCCCGCTTTGCAAAGGGTCCTCCAGGCTTGGGGATGGCGCCCAGATTGGGCCCCCGCTGGCATGGAACGAACGCTTTTTGCCTGAGGTGCACCAGCATCAGGAGGCGCGACCGGGCACGGGGTTACGGGACTAGCCGCGCATGCGGCTCCGGGCAGAGGCTGAAGAACTAACGTGTTGCCTCTTATGATCACGGCTTTGGTTCAAAGATACCCCAGAACGCCAGTTGTTTTTTCCCCCGGTGCGTGTGATGTTCAAAGACAGAAGTTGCAGTTGGAGACCTCACTTGCAATTGAACAATTCACAGGCGGACTGAGTGAACACGGCAAGCCAAGCTTCCCGTGTTTTAAGTTGTCTATTGTTTTACCTGCTAAAAGATGATCCGTGGATAGAACGATGGCTGCTGAACAGGCCGATGGGCTAGAACGACCTGCCTAGTCGAATCCTCAGCATTTGGCAAGTCGAATCCTCCGCATTCGGCTTGCAACAAGCCTCGTGTCACATCCGACCTTACACTTGAAGCCCAGGCAGCTTGCAGAAAGGATGGGCCACATGTGAGCTGTTTGATGTTCAAAGCGCTGCTGCGGTAGATTCACCAATTCAACAATAAGAAATGGTATCAAGGCTTAGATTTCCCTCGAAGAATTCCACCCAGGACGTTCCCTTCGTCCTAATGAGCAGGTCATCCAGATGGAGCTGTCTTTTGTTTTGGGGGGGGGGGTTAAAGGGAAGCCAAACGGAAACCCTAGGGCCATTCTAGGGGCTCCAAATCCTAAGCCATACGGCCGAAGACTCGACCCGGCCCGACCTTTTCGTAAGCGGGAGGCAATGGAAGAGATGCGCAAGAAGTTGGCGGCATTGCCTGCGTCGGAGCGGCTCATGCCCCGCGGCACCGAACGCCGTTAGAAGTGCGGGGGGGCTTCTCAAAATAGGATTCGGACCCCGTTCTGTTTGGAAGCCAGAAGGAAAACACGCATTTTGGTGGTGCCCAAAAAGAACCCGCATTTTGGTAATACCCGCAAAAAAAAGAGACGCCCATGTGGCATGTGGTCGCCCTGGAGTTGGTCCATCCCTGGTTTATCCAGGTGTACTTCTTCCGGATCCTGGGTTCGGAATCTACTTTTGCGCCTTGTGGCATCGCAGTTCTATCGTGGCAGTTTGGGTTGGCACGACCCCTTTTGGCACAAAAAGCACACCCGGGTCCCAAGAGGGCCATCGTCCGCCATATGCCTGAGATTAATGCACTCGTCCTTGATGAAAGACCCTTATGGAGGCTCTTCAATTCAGGTGGTAAAAGTTGACTGCACGAACTCAAATTTGAGGGGGTTCTTTTCTGATATCTAGGCGGGGTCGCCAAGAAGCCTTACCTGCTATGACGCGAGGCATGAGGAGAGCAATGATCAGCGTTCTGAAAAGGGCTCTGGTTACTGGACTAGAAACGAGTCTGCCGCAACTCAGCAAGCAAATGCTTTGCACACACACGCTCACACAAATTCTTTGAACTGAGGTCGGAGGGCATCCAGAGTGGTGTTGGTGACCGAGTCAGTGAGTGAGTGACAGTGAGTGAGAGTGAGTGTGAGTGTGAGTGAGTGAGTTAATGTGAGTGGGTGACCACTTCAACAAACTACATATGATAGTGTGAGCGGCAGTATGCATCTGATCATTAAGCAATTTTGGGTCTGGTGCGGCTACCTTAGCACTTTGCGAATCTTCCCTTTCTTTCGCGGGGTTTGCCAAAAAATGAATGGATTGGTTTCCTTTCAGCAGTCATGCAAGTTGCAAGTGGAGGGTCATTTGTGGGAAAACCACGAGACCAACTTGTGGGTGTGTCTTGTTTGAGGATTTTGGGGGTGGTTTTAAGAGAAAAGGAAAACCAATTTGTGGATTTCCCGTTTGGGGCTCGTTTTAAGAATAATTCGTGGGCAAACCAATTTTCTGGGTAATCTGTGAGCCAGACCCCTGTCGGATAGGCAGCTCAGCCTGCGCCTCTATGAGAAGCATTTGGTCGCCTGCCTTGCCACTCGGGATCCAAACCAGGCGTTGTGCAAAGGGAAGCCGACCGGGGATGGGAAACGCTCCAGTTGTCCAAAACCCCTTTTTGACACCAAACTTGGTTTCCCTTTGGCTCGACTTTTGCCTTTTGTAACTGTTGAGGGATTTGGTTGTGCTTAAGTGGGCAAATCCGACCCCAGAGAGAGAGAGGGCACAACTTGCCAGATGGGCAGGGAGGGATGATTACATGTATGCGTGCAAGTTGCATTCCTCTGGTTCCCCACCACGTACGGAAAAAGATACATCAGGCCCGAGCGTGTCTTGGCAGAAGCCAAATATGCTGTAATTTCCGGGTGTGTTTGTGTGTGTGTCTGTCTTGAGGTTGCCAATCAACTCATCAGGTGGCGCTCTTTCTCTAGGCTTCGACTTCGGAAACGCTGGCATCATCTGCCATGCTTGCCAGATACATGAAGCTAAGGAAAGTGTTGCCTAAAAAAGGTAGTAAGTTCCCAGCAAAATCAGTCATGGTTCAACTCCAGGACAGCGCAACAGGCTTCAAATTCAAGGGAATTGCAGATTTTGCTTTAGCCGTGAACATTGGAAGCCCGGCTGTGGGGGACTGTTCCGGCAGGCAACTCAATGTCAACACCATGTAAAAAAACAGTAATGAGTTCAGTACTCCAAAAGAACAAATGTGCAGATATATTGTTTCAAGACCATGTGAAAAATTGAGAATCGTCTGACTTTGCGGACAGTGCTGATGACAACGATTCAGAAGTCAACTGCCACAGTCTGAATTCTCTTTTCTCCACGTGTGGCTCGCCGCTGCCCAGGACTGATGGGCGAGCTGGACGAGTACAGAGCACAGTGTTGGACTTTTGAATGAGGGGAGCAAGGACCAGAACCCTGGGTCAGAACGAAATCAATCGCCCTAGACTGCCTCAGTCACGAGGTCCATGGACGGGTTTTGAGCACTGCTCCACACCAACCATTCATGTCAGCCTATTTATGGTCTCATTGCCTAGCCTGCTCTGGGAAACCCAAATCGTCATCGTCAAATGCACAGCCAATGCTTGCAAACATATGTCGCATCCCATCGAGCAAAGGCTACGCTAATGGATGCGTGCGAATTCATTGCGGGATCTTCGTTCACCAGCATCGAAGGGGTGTCGTGGCTTCTGGCGATCGCCTGAACGGCAAGAAGCTCCGCCATGGCAAGAAAATCTCCTGAGATCATCGCCTGAAGCCTTTGTAGGCAGGCAAGTGCAACTGTCGTGAGAACCATCACAGCGCAGTTGCCCCGGGGCAAGCATTGACAGCGGTTGCTCACCCCGGACTCTCGTTCTGCACCCATTAACCCCCGCGGGCGGTCGTGCCGCTTTCCGCTTGGCACGGCCTCCCACGATGTCCGCCTCTCCGCGCCCTCGCTGCGTTGAGGCGTGTGACACTATGAAGATATGCCCAGGGGCCGGCTCTGGCGCATGGTCAATGGACCCATTAAGATCTTCAACGAGAAACAAGGGGCGCGGCGCGGCGATGAGAAGGGTTGCTGAGGGGTTTCACATGCTAGGTGTTGATCAACACTTGGATCCTTCCGTGCGAACCTCGCCCGTCTTTGCTTTGTTTGTTTCCTTTTTCTGGGGTCCAACTTGCGCAGGAAGCACATGTTCTGCACTCGGTTGACGTGTTTGTGCAGCTCATGCGGATGTCTCCTTGCTGCGGTGGGCTATTTGTCTAGAGAGGGCTGTTCTGTCGGGTCAAAGAGGGGAATGTGAGAACCACGCACGGCACAGATATCCAGCTGGATGTTTTGTAGTGCCGAATTCGTTTGAATGCGCTGTGTTTTTTCCATTTTCCAGGCATTTGCCGTCTACGAGATCGTTGTTACTTCGTGAGCCCCACCTCTCCGAATAAGTTTGCTTGGGAATCTTGATCAATCGCCGCGTTCCAACGCCAGCTTGCGTTTCTGTGTACAGCCCTCGGTATCCTTGGTTGCCTTCTTTTTGGGGGAAGGGTTCCACCAAGAAGACAGGGGGGGCTTTGTCCGCATGGTTGCAGATTTATTCGGTCTGGGCGAAGTGGGAGCGCGTTGGCAAGCTTCATGGCGACCCAAAGGCCGAACTGCGCCTGGGTCTCCCTAGATTCACATTGATTCCAAAAGGCTCCATTTCCCAAAAGGAGATTCCTGTAAAAATTCACGTGAATCTGTAGGGGAGGAACGCGAACTTGGCTTGAACAGCGCTTGAGTGGGGCTTGAGGTGGGATGAGTGTCGGACGATCCGCCCGTGCCGGCTCCTTTCGGTCTATCAAGCGAGATTTGGCGTGACAGAGACCTGACATTGGTGGCTCCCAGCCATCCGGTTCCTCAGCTTTGTAGCCTTTTAGTGTTTAGTAGTTGGATGTCCATGTAGCCCACTAAAACTTAAACTTTTGGCAGGGGATCTGAGGACAGCCCAGTGGAAGCAAGAGACACACATTTACTTCCTTCACTACTCCAATAAACATGGTTGCATTGATCCTTTGCAAGCTGACCAAGCCTCATGTTTGGTTTCCGGCTCGAGAAACCAAAGAATACGGTTTTTTCGCGAGCCGATCGGGTCAAATCGGAACAAACATACTACCTAAACCCTCGGCGCTTGCGTGCTATGGCCGCCGGATGTCGCAAGGCGCAAAGCGCGCGGCGCGCGCCGAAGGTTTGGAAGACTGTTTTTTTCCTCACGCTTTGAGTTCCAGGTGGCTGGTCAACCCCAAAATGGGTTGCCCGATCGGTAAATGGAACCAAGGACATTCAAACCTGCGGTCCAATTCCTGGCGGCTGAAAATTTTGACCCATGCCCGGGTGAGGCTCAAGGAGCGATAGGCGGCCAGGTGAGGCAGCTGGGACTGAGACATGAGGACCAATGTGCCAAGTTACCTGGACGCTTCAAAGCCATGCGCTTGGGGTTTTCAGGGATTCAAAGCCATCTCCCATCAGCTCTGTCCGGCACAAAAAGCAGTGTAACCGCAACAGCCAAAAATTATGGAAGGGACAGTCTCCGGAAAAGTACGAATCCCTAGAGAGCGTATTGAAATTATGCGTTTATGTCTTGGGATTGCCTCATCAACAGAGCGATACAGTATCCACCTTCGTTCAGGATTTAAAGACAGACACATGATCAATGGGATGTCAAAGTAGATGTCTTGGGGTTGTATGTCCGCCAGAGTTTTAGAGATGGATTCTAGGTTGATCTACGCAGTGACAAAAAATGATCCAGTGGATGTCGTCAGATGTGGGAGTGGGGTGCTGATATTGGCCAAGAGCACCCAGCCCCCTTTCCAGGGCCATGTGAAAGTGCCGTTGGGTTCTTTCTGGGCCCACCTGGGGCCCATTTAATGGGGGCAACCTGGAAGCAGGTGATCACCTTGTGGACCATGCCGGCCACAAATCCCAACACCTCCATTTGGGTTTGGACTTTGTTTGGGGGTAGTCCACGAATGGGTTTGGTTGGACGTGGGAACCCCCACGCCATGTTGAGTGGCTTGGACGTGAGGTTCCCTCCACTTGGCGTCAGGTTCGCTCTTCGAAGACCTTGCGCTCGGACGCATTTCTGTGGGCGACGCGGAGGCGCTAGCGCTGGAGGTGAAGACGCTGGGGAACCAGGCGGCGCGCTTCGCGCGGGATCGCGCTGCCCAGAGTTCAGGTGGCCGTGGGTCAACACCAATGGTAGCATGTTGGGGTAGGTGCACCACCCATTTTAGTCTATTTTAGTTGTGATGATGTTCACCCATAGCCAGGCAACCCAGTGCTTTAGAGCCCGGTTTGGTCCCTGCTTCTTGTAGATACATTTGGTTTGCTGGCTGGTTTCTGGTTGGAAGGATCGGCTGCCACAAAACAACGGATCGCAAACGGTTCGCCGCCCGGAGAAAGCAGAACGCCTGGTTGTTGATGTTTTTTTTTTGTGGAGTGGTAATCCTCCACTTTTGCGCGTGACACACCCCAAGTCTTTCGTAGGACGGGAAAACCAATCCGGGGTTCCCATGATCATTCACCCTTCTCTCCCTTCGGTCGTGTAGGGAGTACCCCACCACCTTTGTTTGGATCTATCTCCCCATCCCGTTGCCAGGGGCGAACCTAGCTCCGGTCAGCTGTCCCCACGCAAATAGCTGGGTGGGGGGAGGCCATGAGGCCATGAGGGTGTGTTTTGGATCCTTCCAAAGGCAAAACGTGTTGTTTGTGTGCCACATGCATTTAGGTGGTTTATCCCCGGTTGCAACTTTTCATCTATCCTAGGTGCAGACTTCCATCAACATTGTCAACTTCGGATTGCTGGAAATCCGCACTAGTTGGGTTCCCTTTCAGAAAGAAATGAACTACCCTTCCTCCCACTAGGATGAGTGGATGTCCATCTTTTCAGGATTGGGACACCGCCTAGTCCAAACCTGACTGGACTTGTTGACTTGACCCCTTGGCTTGCCGGTGGCAATGTTTCAACTTAAATTGGGCTATACTCCAAGCAGGTCCAGTTCCTTTGTTTTCCCGGGGCCAAATAATCAGAGGGGTGGGTACTTTAAGCTCGGCTTTGGTCATGATCCTAGCAGTAAGTTATGATTACTGATTTCGCCCCTAGGTCCCTTGAGTGTCCCCAAATCGACGGTCAGCACTTGCATCCGATGAATTGGAAAAAAAAGTCTCCCTTGAACGAGTTGAGGGCTTGCAGAGGGAGCACTCCAATTCTCTGAAGTCGTCTGGAGAGAAAAAAAAGTGAGAGAGTGGCAAAACCCAACCCTTGGAGAAGTCCAGGGAACCCCTCGAAGCTCTCCCCCGCACAACTCCATCGAAACGTGTCCCAGGCCAAGCGGGAGAAGAGCCCGGAGCTCTATGAGGAAGTGGCAGGCCTGGGCTGAGTCGGGAAGTTTACCCACGCTGCACTTGATGTATTTCCCCAGATAGCTGAAGGCTATAGGGGTTGTAACTTCTAATCAAGAGGGGAAAGGAATTTGCGAGATTGACGGCTGCGTGCTAGGGGGCGTGCAGTTGGTGGTGCAGATGTTGTTAGGGTGTGCTGTTTGGGGAGCTGTTTGTGGTGCAGGTGATGGTGCGGGCACAGTTTTGCAAGATCGACCGGGTGCTTTTGGGCATGCAGTTTGGGGTGCTGGTGCGGGTGCTGTTTTGGGGTGTGGCGTTTTTGCAAGTGCAAGATTGATGGCAGGGTGCTTGGGGGCATGCCGCTTCGGGTGCTGTTGGAGGAGTGCGGGCGTCCGGGGGTGCTCTTCGAGGTGCTGGTGCGCAATCCTCTGCCTGGTTCGCTATCTGGGGTTTACGCTGGTGTAATGTATATTTGTGTTTATATGTCTAGGTTCCCCAGCTAGGTGCCAAAAAAGGGGGAGGGTTCCCCTACTAAAATAGACTACAGAAGAAAGTTGGTACCCCTTATTCTAACCTCTCTGGAGGACATAGATTTGTGGAGGGAAGGGGAAAGGGGGGACTAGAGGCATGTTTTCGGAAAGAAGCTCAAAGGGTATGTCTTTTTGGTTGAGCGACATGTGCAGTTCCGAGACCGGTTCCTTTGGGAAAGCACGGACGGTCATCCACCTGGTAAGGATCCGAGTAGAAGCGTTGCAATGATTCCGATTAGGAGAACCATGACAGGCCAAACTCAGTCTTGGATCGCTCACATTCCACTTCCCCGGCACTGAAGTGGGGCAGCTCTCTCTCTCTCTCTCTCTCTCACTCGTTTTTCGGCTGCGGGTGTGTTTTCGTACCTGGGTCCTGACAAAACCATACGAGGTTGGCTAGACAAGAATTCGAACATAAAACATGGTGGGAGCCCAGCCCTGGAAGCCTTTTTGGAGGCACCAACTTGAGCTTTTCAAGCCCGGATTAACCAGCGGTCCCATTTTTTGTTGGGTGTTCCCCTCCAAAAGTGATGAAACCCGCACTGAAAGGGGACACCCTCCTATTGGAAAACCAGGGGGGGTCAATGATCCAGGATTCCCGTTTGCACCCGACTGTGATGAATCCTACGAAAAAATGATAGGACATGGGACCTGGAACCAATGCTGCAAAGGGGCACCTGCTGGGCACCTGCTCAGGACGCCGAATCCATCAATTGATGTTGATATCTTGAAGCAGTGCAAGAGTCCTTTTGGCGGGTTAATTTAACAGGTTGGGGGTAGTCACCATATGCGGGATGGCTTTGTCCAGCGGCACAAAATGAGACTGAGGTCCAGGAACATGGGTTTACCTGAAACCCCTGACTGAGGATTCCGCACATTTGGGCCTTGCCTAGAAACCAGTGAGGTTTCATCATTCAGAATGTGTGTATCTCCTTTGTATGTGTGCTTTTCTCGTTTTGCCCAACAAAGGGTGTCTACCCTCATCGCACCCCCCTCCCCATGGCTTGGGGTCTCCAGAGAGGCCCTTGGCTGCCAGGCCAACGGACCCAGACGTTGAGGTAGACATGAACCAGAGGAGATGACGCATCGCATCGCATTGTTGCTCCCACAGGCTTGAAGGAGATTCCATCAAACTACCAGTGTTCTAAGAACGGAAAATGAGACACGAGCGGAAAAGAGGGATATTTTTTCGGGTGGGTTATGAAAACCCACGGCCCCTCCCCCAGGTGCCGCCCTGCGCTGGGCCGCGAGCGCGGACCCCGAGGCTGCGGCCAGGGCGCTGCTGTGCTACGCCTGGGCGCAGCAGCAGCTGAGCCGAGGCGAGGGACCCCTGCCAACTTGGGGGAGGTCTGCGGCCGAAACGAAAGCGACACGTTGTTTCTGTCGTTGTTTCTTGTTGTTTCTGTCTTTTCTCCTTTTTTTGGGGGGAGGAATGGGGGGCAAAACGCCAATGTGGTTTTTGACAAAGCCGCATTTGCGGTGTGCGTTGTTTTTTGTTTTTTTTTTGTTTTTTTTTTTTTAAAAAAAAAAAAAAAAAAAAAAAAGAAAAAAAATAGGGGGGCCTCAATTGTTGGAACCATGATATTTAGGGGAAACCCCGTGGGGCACTGATTCTCAACAGAGCCAAAGGCACCCATCGAATCATTGCAGCCATCTTTCCGCATGTGTTTTGCTTCTGTGCGCGAACGAGTCGTAAACCACCTGAAGATGTCAACGCATCTACATTGAATATTGGAACTTAAACCCATGCGTTGCAACCCTAAATATTGATCGACAAATTGACCACTCTTGCGAGGCAATCTGAAGCTAGTTGCAGGCGACGGTTCGCGACCGGGTTCTCTTACACAGCCTCAAAGCCATGACAGCACATGAGGGAAGGTTGGTTTGGTTTCTGTGGTTTCCCTTTACCAGGGACCTAATGTCTACCCTGGCAGGGTTTTTGGAGCAGTGACAACGTGACGTTTGCTGGCAGTGTTTCACACACGTTCAAAGTTCTTGAAACATTCTATGCAGGCCAGCAGTTTTCTTTCCCTTGCACCCGTGGCATGTGACTCACCACCAAACATGGTCCAAAGTTTCACCGGAAAACGGCCACACTCCCGGTAAATCTGTTTACCAATGACCTGGAAATGAATTCACCTGCAGAAACAGCCTCCCAGCTACTCAGTTCCTGTGCTCGGACTGGGCTCAGGCGTAGATGAGGCGCGGACCCTGGGCCTCGCTCTGACCAGGGATGGGCGGCTGCAAAAGCAGCTGCGCCTTGACCGATGGGCTGGGCGGTCAAAGTGGGTCTGTCTTTTTGTGAGCCGCTACCCCTTTTGGGTTGGTTTTCCAGGAAGACCCCCTCCACCCAAGTGAATCCTTGATCCTTGAGCTGGATGGTCGTGATTTTCCTTGCGGACACGGGATGCAGACTACCCAGGGAGTTGGATGCGCAAAGTCGGCGTGTCGACGAATGCACCTGTAGAAACTTCCTGCGAACGGGATGGTTGGAGTCGGCATTCCGTTGATTTAAACCAACCCCAAAAAGTGAGTGAGGAAACACACCCCGAAATGGGCTTGCCGCAAACCAGGGGAACCCCCAAAAGGACGGTTTTTCCTTGTTGCTTCCCTTTTTGAGGCATCCAAAAAGGCAACCCCTCGAAAAAGGCGCCGATCTCCGCCGCGTTGGGCCGAGGCAGGCGTTGCCGAGCGGCAGCTGCTCCGCGCTGCTGGTGCTGCCAAGTGAAGCCGCAGAAGCGGCGGATCCACAGAGGCGGAAACCCGAAACCACGGGTGGGGGCGGGGGAACATCCTAGGGTCCCCCAGCTAGGTGCCCTTTTTGACCCCTTTTTTGGTTGGGAGGGTTCCCCTACATAGACTACAGGAGAAAAAAGAAGGTACCAACTTATTGTAACCTCGCGACTGGACCTAGCGTCCCTCCACCCCTTTGGGATGGGCGCACGAACCCGACACTTTTGGAGGTACGCGGGGCGATGTGAGGGGACTATGGGGGGGAACCCCCGGAACAACCAGAAGCAAATGGGGTTTAGACATGAGCCAGGGTCAAACCACCTGCTTGTTTGGGCCAATGGCCACGCCACAAGAGTATCGGATTTGGGGTCCTTTTGCTGTTCTTTTCCAACCCGACATGGATTGATTGGTGAGTTGAACAGTTGTTCTGGGGAATTGGGCAGCCCCCCAACTCCCAAGTAGTTGCGAATGGGAACGCAGGCCGGTGTATGTGCTGGAAGCGGACAGACACTGGCGCCTACTGCCCTGCCCGAGGCGCATGGGCTCCATTTGGGTGGGGTTCCTTTCCTTGATACCCGTTTGGAGAGGACAACCCACCCATTTTGTGGAAGAAGACTCCTCTTTGTTCCTTTTCTTAAACCTTTTGAAGGTAGAGGGCGGAAAACCCACCTTTCGTTTTTTTGGAGGGGGGGGCCCTGAAAACAGACATCCTTTTTGTCCCAGCTTGAGGGACCCCCCAGTCTAGATGTGAGTATGTGTGTGTAAGTGGGAGCGCGGGAATCTGAGAAAGGATCCACCAGGCTGGTTTGGGAAAGCTCCTCCTCTCCAATCACTGCATGCAAGTTTTGCCTTCTGGCAAACAATGCATGGACGAATGATGCAGGGATATTGGTTGCGTTCGGTTGGTTTCTTTCAAACGTATGCCATGCCGGTTGTCCTTGCAGCATCCCTTGATGGTGGATGATAAGTTGTTTGGCCATGGCTGGAGCCATGCGAACCTTTTTGCATGAATCCAAGCTTCCCACGAACCACAGTTGGTCCATGAATATTATACTCTCCCATGCCTACGAGGCAGGGTGTATTGACCGCGGCTCGAACATGTCCCTGTGTCATGTGTAGAAATCGCTCTCGTGGCGCCAAGTGTTGCTTGCAAATCCGAATGCTGAAATCTGGCTTCACTGGCACATTCCCATGTTCCAACCCATGAGAAAGATGCGTTCTCAGGGCCCAGGGATCTTGTCGGTCTTGTCGTGCGATCGCTCATGCGGCTGGGGACTTCACTGTCTACATTGCCATTCTGCATCCGCATTTGCATCCCATCCACTTAGGTTTGATCTGCGGTCAAGTCTAAAGGCTAAGATGGGTTTCCGACAGTGAGAACCATCCAAAAGCTCTGGCAACCAAGGTATTCCCTTACATCCCTTACATTTGTGGGACCTTTCGTAAAAGGAGCAAAAAGGCAAATATTAGGAAAAAAATGGGACACCTGCAACATGTGTTCCCAAACATGTCTTGAGACCTTCCTAAACCAATTCACTCCTCCATGTTGTTCCACGTCGCTTGAGCAGGCGCTTCGCTTGGCTCATCTACGGCGAGTCGCGGCTGGCCTTGGGGAAGCCGGCGGCGCCGGCGGATCCGGCGCTGGAGGCGCTGCAGCTGACGCCGCTGAAGCTGGAGGAGCGACGGCGAGGGGGAGGCGGGGGTTCTCCAAATGGGCGGCGTGGTCTTCCTCTGTTGGAGGGGACACCCTTCTCTTGGTGGGTGTTTTTTTTATGGCAAACTGAAAGGAAACCCACTGTGTTGGTATGTTTTGGTGGGTTCCTAGAACATAGCATCAGGTCCCCTAAAATGACGCGCACAAATGGGAATGGTTTCTAGCCCGCCTTTGGTTGAGGGGGGTTGGGGAGAACCCAAAAGCAAGGCCCGATTCCTGTTTTGAGCTTCATGCGCCTTTTCTGGAGAGAGCCTTGTTTGGAGGATGATAAGTGAAACTGAAAGGCCACTCCCCATTTGAGAGGTGGGCGAGCTGCTAAGCCCCAGTGAACGCCAGTTAACCCACGTGTAAACCCTTGCAACTCGGGTTACTATCCATTTAGCTAACTCCCAGACCATCTAAGTTTTTGCCCCTGCTGTGGATGGACAAAATCCTGCACCACCTAAGAAACCACGGAATGATCATTCCCCTGCAAATAAAGTTGCAAGAGACCACAGTAATTTCAGCGTTAATTCTAAGTTGTGCGCAGGGCCTCCATGGAGGGGTCGCGAGGACGCAGATGCCATGGGTGGGGTGGAGCTGGCAGCAGAGGCACAGAGAAGTAGGGGAAGGAGCGGAATCGACCCGCTTGTCTCTTTTATTCCTATAGTTGCTCGTGTCTGTTTAGCATGGCTTGTGGTTGTTCCCTGTGCTTGCAAGTGTATGTTTGTTTGTTTGTTTTTCTGTCTGCGTGGTTCTGATGTTCTTCCTTTGTGGCATGTGTGTGTGTGTGTGTGTGCGTTTGTGTTTTTTCCTTTAGTGAAAGGCGCCTTCTAGGGGCCATACAAATCTGTGTTCAACCCTTGGACTCGGAGACTTGCAAACCGCTGCAAAACATGGGGCCTACGGCAGAAACCGAGAGGAAGGACCCTCGAGGTGAGGCTTAGCAACTAGGTCTCGGGAGTCGGAGAAGTCCCGGCATCGCAGGAATCCGGCTTTCTAAGGGCCGTCGCCCTGTGCCGCCAACCCGAATCTGAACACAGTGTAGATAGCATAACTTACAATACGTGTATATATATATATATATATTAGTTTATGTATTTAAGTTTGTTGCTTCTGGGGGTACGAATGTTGCCGACGAAAGAATCTCACGTTGGAGCCAGACTTCACATATACTCAAGATAGGAATGTGGCAGCCACATCCCCTGTGCAAGGCTTGTTCCCACGGGCGAGCTAATGATAAGTCTAGAAACGATTGGTTTGATGGCGATGACTTATGATTTATTCCGGTGTAACAGTGATGTATTGCCAGCCTTCGGGAATTGCGCCTCCCCTTTTGGCAAGAAGGAGTCGGCGGATTTGTATCGTATGAATCTCGCGTGCGCACTAAGCCGGAAGCCGGAAGCGGAGTTGGGGATGTTTCGGCTGTTATTGCTAAGCGAAGCCACGAGAGAAGTTGGATGAGTTTTGTTGCGTTCTTTTTCTCCAGACCCTCCCTTCAAACAGTTCAGGGATCACGTTGTGGGGAAAACACCGAGGAGAGATACCAGGTGCAGGGAATTGTTCGCCTTGCGGAAAAGCGGCCCAGAGTCCTTCCTATCACAGGGGCTTGGCGAAGGATCTGGACGGGTTTCGCGAATGGAAGGTGTGAAGGAAGGAAAAGCTGGTGAAACCCGTCTGACCTGCTTCAGGGGTACCCATTTGGTGGGGTGATCCTCACTCCTAGGGGTTATCTTAAGAGGAAACTGATCTTCCAGGTCGGAAAGTTGCCTTTTGCCCGGCTCCACGGGTCGTTTTTTTGCGGAGGCCCTGAAGTCCGGGCGCGGCTGCTTCGCCCACTCCGACTCTACCTCCGCCCTGGGCCTCTTCGCAGCCTGCTTCATCTGCAAGTACGGCCGGGCCCGGGGGTGTCGGAGCGGGCTCACAGAGTCGGCAGCTGAAAGCCCCCAAGGGAATTCCCAAACAGCCAGGGGCGAAAACCAGCTCACCCTAAAACCAGCCCGAGTCTGGGAATTCCTTTCCGGTGGTCTGAAGAGTAAATTGAGTTCCATGGCCCCCGAAACCATGGAGCCAAAAGAAAATCCGGTAGAATCCTCCCCCCTTTTTCCCCCGCCCCCTTTCGATTTGGGCGTATAAAAACGGTTGGGCATGGCGCAACCCCTGGGAGCGCAGGCTTCGGCTTCCCAGACTGGGATCCCAGCCAGCGGCGAGCTCAGGGGCTGTCAGGGTGAATCAGGGGAGGCAGTGGCACAGATGTTACTCGCATTGTCCATACATATCTGTATACATATACATATATACATACATATATATGTATATATGTTGCTTGAGCCCCGGCCTGGTGTTGGACCAAGAAACGAATCAGTTAAATGGAGGTCCCGGTGCCTGATGCACGGAAATTCTCAGATACATCTCGCCCAATTATGGAGTATAAGGTATGACGATATCGAGATTAAGAGGGAGAAACCACGGTGCTTTGTCATGGACTACCTCTCGGAACCACCTCCAGTTTTTTGTCCTTACGGATTTTGGTGATCTTGAATGCTGGGTTGGATCTTTCCAACTTTTCGGGAAACCCATTATTTTTCTAGAGGTACCTTCCCCATTCTTTCCTCGGATCCTTCTTTCTAGAAAACCTCCGGAAACCCAGGGAGAACGGATCCAGTTTTTGGAAAGAACGATGGTTGAAAAGAATGGAAGAGGAATCAACCCCTAGAATTTTCCAAAAAATGAACATGGTTGATTCCCCCAGCAACCATACCCCTAGTATGAGTTCAGCTACCAGCCAAAAGATGAAGATGTTGGGTAGGTAATAGTCACAACCGAGGCCTGCCCACAGTGCAGCAGAGGCCATTGAGCTGATTCAAGGCCTGAATGCCCGGACACTCATTGGTGTTCCCCTTTTTTATGTTCGTTGGCTGAGAAATACATGGGTTCCACCGGTTTAGATGGTTTTTGATGCCCCCATGTACTAGGGGCTTTGTGTTTTTCCAAAAGGTCGCCTATGGAAGAGATGTTTTCCCCTGACGGCAACGTTCAACTGCAAACGTATGCCCTTCCTTTCCTTGTTTGACGGCCTTCGGGAAGTGCTGGAGTGACAGACACTAGTCACGACGTCCCTGGTCACAATTGACCCCTTCGGGCAACTCAAATTTCAACAGCTGACCCCAAGTGTTTGGTCGGTTTCTTACCAGTATTCAAGAGCTTGACCTAGAATCCAGATTTCATCAGACCTCTGCTCTCAGGGTATGCTACTTGTGGTTGTGCCCATGCCTGTTCTTTTGAAGATGGCAAGGAGTTGCATGTGCCCATGCTCAGAATGTGACAAATCATGTGAGATTCACGAGCCAGTGGGTACAACTTGGGGGCCACGGAGATGTGTGGAAGTTCAAAGTTGGGTACCCCAGTAGTGCCCTACTAAAATAGACTACAGGAAAAGGGTACCCTTACTCCAACCTCTCTTCTAGAGGACCCAGTTGGGGGGAATTTGTCCTTTCATTGGAGCGTGCCTTGTAGTCAATGGCTTGCCCAGGCTGTTGCTGGTTTTGCTGAACGCCCAAACCGCTTCGGATTTTTTACACCCCTATCCGAGCTGGGCGAAAAACGGTTCAGCTCCCCTTTCAGCGATACAGGAATGTGCCCAACAGTGATGAAGCAATGGCCTTCCAAAGCCATCCCAAGCAGCGTCCGCTCCTTGAGGCCTGCAGGGCAAGGATTCCATCACTGGCCAAGAGGAGCAGGTGATGCTCTTCGAGCGTCCGGTGCCCAAGGGCCAAAGGCCGCCGCGAAATCCGCTCCGACACGTTGAGGCAACAGGTACCCTTGGAAGCCAAACGCCGGACACCCCAAATCCTGGTTGCCAAGGGTACGCAACAAGGGCCATGGGTGTCTTACCTGTCAAGTGGTTCTACTTGCTCATTGTTTGAGTCTCCTCTGCGTGCCCGGGGAGGTAAGTGCTCCAAATACACCATCCTCACCCAGTTCCTAGAGGCAAGGGTAAAGAGCATATGTACGTGCCATGGTCAAAGACCCGTGTAGGGATTGCTTATGAACCCCTTTATAGGAGTTTAGACAACCATGAGAAGGACTGCCATCAAGAGAGTAGGGGTTATTCAACTGCGGCGCCCCAACCGAAAGCCACGTAGCTATGCCCTGAATTTGTTTATTCAACACGTGCGCCCAAATCAAACCCTTCCGAGGTTTGTTGGGAGTGTTCCGAACCACATCTTACTTGCATAGCGGGTCTTGGTTCCGACTCAAGCGCCAATTGTTTGGAAAAAGGCTTTGCCGCTTGTCATTTTGTTTGACACCCCCTGCCATTTCACCCGGTCTACAGAGGGTCTCCCATGTATCAGGCCTCACAGACGTTGATCCCTATATGTCCCTTCCCCAAAGGCATGTTTTCCCATGGGATTTTTCTCCAGGACCGTGGGAACCGCAGGTTGCCGCTCCACGAGCAAAGCTTTTCGCATAACAAAACCCCACGAAGCGAAGGGGATCTCCCGATCTCGTCGGTCTCACCAAAGGCCTAGGTCGAGGACTCCGAGGGCGCATTGACGACCGGCTTCGAAAAGCAGTACCGCAAGATGAAGATACCAAGGGTTCATCCACAAGTCCGGACGCCGAAGGTGCGTCTTTTCATGTTGAATCGAGTGGCTTGTTCTTTGATGATCTGGACCTGCGAGAGTCCTCCGAGCTTTTTCCCAGTTCGGCGGCTTGTGTGTGTGTGTGTTTTTTGTTTTTTTTCAGGTGCACCGCCAAAAGTGGTCGACCACAAGCAACGTTCCGTTTTTCTAGCCTTCTTCCAACATCGAAGTGGACAAGACGCCGGCCTTCTTCAAGGGTTTTCTTGGTCCCCGCTGGGTATGGTTTTTAGTGAGCACTTTAGGTGGAGGTTCATGTCCACCTGCGAGGCGGTAGAATTCATCGCCTACATGGCTGAGGCGGTCTTTGGTCCGAGCTGATGCTGGGCCGAGCGCGGAAAAGCTGCGCAGCGGTGGTGCAGACAGAGACCGCCAAGGGCTTGAAGGAGCCGGGTGAGAGGGAGTTTTCGTTGGGAGTTGAAAGCGCTTGCTTCTTTGGGGACCCGAAATGGTGGACATCATGAGATGAGGTTTCATGTCCAACCATTTGGGACGGTGCCTTTGGGGCTAGTGTTAGAGGGAAACCAAATAGAACCCGTTGCTATTTTGGGGGGGGTTCCCTGTTCTAAGACAAGCCCATTCGGTTGGGAGAGGTTGGAATTGGTTTCTTGGTTTGGGTGTGCTTCTTTGGTGGCTTTGTGGGTTGCATTGGTTGGTGGTCGGGGCTTATTAGAGGATTGGTGAATGACCGGGTATGGGCATGGAATCCAAGTAGTCCAAGCAGAGACCTTGGGTCAAAGACGTAGTTCGGCTTTGTTTCGTTGTTCTGCTCCGGGATTGCGTTCTATTTTGTTTCGTCTTTGCTTGCCTATGTCCACTTTCTGCACTTAGTAATATGCAGGCCTGCTGTGTATCATGTTGTCCTTCGTTTGCGTCAGCGTTCGGAGCACAGATTCTCAATTTGCATCCCTGCGCGTGTTGCCTGCCATGTTTCCCCACTGCCCATGGGTTTGGCCTAGGGTTGTCTTAGTTCCTGAAATGCTTCGTGGAGGCCGGAAATGGGAACTAACGCCAGGGATCTTTCAGGCATGTTCAACTTCCATCCCTCCGGTCTAGACAAACAAAGGGATGTGCTAAGGTTTGCAGCCTTTTCATGGTTTGGCCCCGCCGAAAAGTTGTGCGAAGCGCAAAGACACCTTCCCGGCCGACTTGTGAAACTTGTTTTCTGGGCTCCACAAAGTCCAACCCAAAAGCCCTGGGGCCCACCCCGTGCAACCCTCATCGTAGGCTTAAACACCTTTAAACAGGGGCCGAGTCGCCCAATCCCGCAGACTTCGCAGGTGGTGCATCAGCCGGGCGACGGCAACTGCCTCTTCCACTCCCTGGCCTATGGCTTGGGCAAGGCGTCCTGTTTGGTTCTTTTGGTCGAAAAGTAGATGGCGAATCCTGGTTTACCTGGTGGTTTCATCATCTACCAGGGCCATCTATTTGCCCCAAAAGGACACCTTTGGCAATGCCACTTAGAGCCCTCCGTTTAAAAAAGGCATACGTTTTATCGCGCACGCGGTTTGCATTGGCCTTGGATGCATCAATACGCATGAAAGATTCCAATGGATTGGCCCTGAAGTGGTGATAAGCGCTGTTTGCCAACCATGGCCACCGCCTTTGTTCTCTGAAACCGGGAGGTTCCGATAGCGCTCGCCCGGCGGAAGAAAACTCCTCGAGTCATTTGCGCCTTGGCACCGGTGTCTTTTTCTGAGTTTCCGGCAGGAGAAGGCGGCGAGTTTGCGACGCCGCGTCTGCGACTTCATGCAAAAGAACCCACAGTTGGAGATCTCCGGGTCATCGCTGACGGAGCGGCTTGTCCAGCCGACTGGTGAGGGTTCCTGAAGAATCGGGGGAACCCCCCTGAGATAGGCTCCGAGGTACTCAACACGCCGTCAGCGTGTTAATAGCACGTTGGTCCAAATCTTCAAGGAAACTAGAAGGCAAATGAGAACGCAACTAAACTCACAAGTATCCCGAAGGCCACCCAGCTGCCGTGTTGCTTGGGGTTGCCTTAGAGCTGGTTCCATGCACATTCCTTGCGTGGTTGTGTTTTCAAGAATAGGAATCATCATTGGAGGGCCGTGGTTACCGGCCGCACATTGCCACGCTTTCCAACGTGACGCAAGGTGCTGCGCCTGTTGCGCAATCTGCGCAGGCTGCCAAAGTGAGTGTTGTTCCTGTCACGAAATGTGAGTGCCAATCCAACGGTGATGTTTTTGCTTTTGAACAAAAAGAAGCGTGCCGGCACTTTAACAATTGGGAGGGCAACCCCACCCCCACCCCCCGACTGTCGTCCGCTTTTCTGCAAAACGCCTGCCAAGTGGTTGGCACGCACGCCCTAGCGCCCCCACACGCTGCCAAATGGGAAGCGCGCTCAAGTGTATGCGCACGCGCACACACACACACACACACACACACACCTTCCTGCCAAATGATGAGAACTACTTTCTCTTCTTGCTCTCCTGGCTCTTGTGTTTTTGTCGCACTTGTTGCTCTTCTTATTTTTGCCGGTTGGTTTGTTTGTTTTTCGGCCACCGGAACTCGCGATGCTCCAAGGTGGATTGAGATGACTTCCCAGTCCTCCGTGGACAGCTACGCCTCAAAGATGCGCCGCGGCGGCGAGTGGGGCGGCGCGCCAGAGATCGCCGTGTGCGCGCGCATGGCGGAAATCGACGTGCAGGTCTACGAGCCAGGCAAGGGGCGGGCAAGAGGTCTCATCCAGAATTAGGGTTTTGGTTTCTTAGGGTAAATCTAATTAGTTGATTGGGGCCAGGCAGCGCCAAGGTTGCGAAGATGGGAAAGGTCGTGCAGGCTGGTCTTTTAGTGGTTTTGGGGTGACATCCAGGTACGCTTTTGCTGGCTTTGCATCGACTGGTGACTAAGAGGGACCTAGGGAAACAAAGGAATTGAACTGCGCGGAAAAACAGGGCAGCGCAGCAAACGTGTTTTAGGTGGGCCCATTTGGTGAACCGAATACATCACTCACACACAAGACACTACGCGAATTCACAGGGTCAAAATGAAGCCAAAACAAAAGCGAGCAAAGTCTGTTTGTGCCTGTGCGATGGTCGAATTCAGGGATGCACGCCAGTTGTGCTTGATCTTGGGGCCCAAACAGTTTGCGGAATCTAGCCCTGCTTGGCCACGTGTATCCCTGGACTACAACGTGGTATTCATCACGCCTGTGAATAGACCACGTCCAAGCGATAGCTTGTTTTTGCCCGGCGCAACCGAAGCGCTGGCAGGTAGTGAAGGCTTCGACCTCATCGCATCCTTTCCTGGGAATGAGCAGGGGACGCCGACGCCCAAAGTGGTGCGAGTGTTGTACACGGGCCGTCTTCACTACGACGCTTTGACTGAGTAAAAGTTTCGTTTCAAAGAGCCTACCCCATGGCATACTGCAGTACAGCGGACAAAAAGGACCTGTTGATGCACGAAAAGAGACAAAGAGGACGTAAACTATGAATTCCATGTGCAACTTAACAGGGCGTAGTCTACCTACAAGCATGCGGATGTTGTTCACTGAATGCAAGGAGTGTTTGACTATGGCTCATGTTCAAAGTCAGTTGCAGAGTGAGTCGCTGGCAAGTCCACGATGCCTGCATTTGAAAAAAGGGTCTTTGGCCGGAGTCGATGCCACCGATGGAAGTCCTGCCAGATATGCAGAGCAACTGGCGATTGCCGGTGCCTCGCTAACACTCCCCCTACACCTACGCTTTGTGTGGAGGTGAGTGGCCTGATGTTTTTACTATTCTAAATATACATGTATTCAACTTCACATTGTGTGTGTGTTGTTGAGGCTACCCTTTTCAGGCTAGCTCAAAGGGAAAGCAACGGACAACCACCGCGTTCTAAACCGGTCCCCCGGTTTCAACACAGGTGAAGAATGGCTTCCAGATCCGCACAGAGGAGCCGCGCACAAAGACCCGCGAGCCTGATTGGAATGCAGCTTTTGGTCGGGGAGGTAGCCCCTTGGTGGATCTAAACGGAAGCCAAAAGGACCGGCCATTTTTGCGATCAGAAAGACACACCCATTTCTGGGTCCTCGAAATATGAAGCAGGTTTTGGTGGCTTTCTGCGTTCCTCAGATGGGCAAGATTTGGGTGTGTCTCATGGCTTGCCTTTAAGCCAACCCTGAAAAGGGTACGCTCAAAAAAGGACGCACGCATTTGGCTACATGGACAAAATCCATGCCAGTCACCAGTTGGAACTGGCAGAGTATTCCAACATTCATGGGCTTCATTCATTTTAGGTGCTTTGTGGATTGTCCATCAGCAGTCTGGATTTTAAGAGGGAGCTTCCTCAAGAATGGTGGACATAAATCTCCAATAATATCCATCTGGCCAATTTGACCTGTTTGTTCAGCTTGGGACAAGCTCCTTCAAGATCTTTTGGACATGGGGTGAGTTGTATGTCATGCTTGTCCAATTTTGTCAAAGGATCCCGGAGTCTCCACCGAACGAATGTATCAAGCGGGCGTGTGAGTCTGATGAATGTAGGATCTTGGGACCTTGGAAAACCCTTTTAATCTTTTCGGGGAGGCGGCAACTTGACTTGCTTTTTGGTCCAGGTTGATAGTTGTCGTATTGTTGTATTGGCTGCTTTCCGGCCCACACCAGAAAGGAATGATAATTACAACACGCCAGGTTCATGCCCTGCTTTCACACATTCCAGCTTGGAGCTTCTCGTGTTCTGTCAATGGCAGTTGTCATAGCCCTCGGCTGTCCGTCTCTGCCCGGTTTGCGCAACTTCAAAGCCCCCGAGACCAACTCTATCGGCTGTCCTTTTCAACCGGCCGTGTGTCTGGGGAGAATGTCCTAGGAATCCAGCTGCCAAAACCCTCAAGCGCTTTTTCCCTGGCCCAGGAGGTGAGCCCAAGATCCTACCCGGCTCTTGCAGCAATCTGGACCAATCGCTTGAAAAACGCCGTCGGTTTTTACTCTCACAGGAGGAAGGCTGGCCCGCGCAAGCACAGCTGGCCTTAAAGGTCTCGCATCTCGAGGCCATCCGAAGTGGGGACTTGAACGGACGGCAAGAAAGCGAAGGGAGATCATGGATTTGAGGTGTTCTTCTTTTCTCTGGGGGAGAATTGCTTGATTTGTTTGTGGGAGAATTGCTTGATTTGTCCAGTTGTTGTTCAAGCATGAGAGCATCAGAGACCTCCTTGGATAGAAAGTTGGGGCGTTTGTCAGCTTAGCATTTGAACGAAAGAGCTGACCAGTTCAGTCACTAGACTGTTTTGTGGCGATACGTAGCGTTGGGCTTGTTTGAGGAAAGCTGGATGGGTGTCTCACTCTTTGGCTCTCAAGTGTCCTGTCTGCTCTTCACACCCGGGAATTGCAATGCGTTCGTTTCAAGCAAGGTGGTCTTGCATGAAGTACATGCAGAAAGCAACGAGCGGTCAACGTGTTTGCCAACAATCGAACAACAGAAACGAATGAGCAAGCAAGCGAACAAACAAAAATAAACAAACAAACGGGAACACAGCACAGCACAATTTACACGCAAGACTTTGACTTCGTCCAAGGGCGCGCATGCGGGGCCAGGCGGATGTGCAGCTGCTTCGGCAGCGGAAGGAAGACCTGGAGCATGAGAATGAGGCCACGAGCCGCGCGCGAACGCGTGGCCCGAAATCATGGGGTGAGCCGTGGGTGGCAAACGAATCTGACGTTGATCTACATGCGTACTTCTTCTCTCTACCCCCAGGTGATCATACATATATGGACTCACGTAGCGGGTATAAAGAGTAAAGCACTTGTCTGCCGCAGCCACGTCAGCTTAAGGTTTGGCGTAGGTGGATGGGGGAGCAGCCGTGCCCACTGTGTGAAGGTCGGTACGGGACCTTCCGGTGGTGCACGGTGTGTAGCTCCTTGGAGCAGCTCCGGTTCGCTGTCCTCCGTGGTTTTGAGCGGGAGGACAGCGAGGAGCTTGGGAGAAGGATCAGGGACTTCTCCTCGACCCTCCTGTCTTGGGGCGCTCGGCTCCAGAGACAGCGGGAGGGTCGCACTCTCGCCCAGGTCAAGGCCGGTGGTGCTGGACCTGTGGTGCCCGCGGGGCTAGGGGCTCTCAGGCCGGCTGAGCCCGCTGGCCCCCCTCCGACAGGAGGGGATCGGGAGGGAGCGCCCTCGGCGTCCTCTCCTGCCACTACCTCCAAGGCAGCCCCGGAGGTCCCAAGGGCTTCCCGCACGCCGGAGAGGCGGAGGAGGAAGGAAAGCAAGAGGAGCCGCAGCTCCAGGAGGAGGAGAAGCCCAGGAAGGGCTAGGCATCGCAGGAGGGAGGCTTCTGCGTCACCTGTGAGAGCGCCCGTGCCTCCCAGGGATCCCCCACCCCCGGCTCCTAGGGCCCTTTCCCCTGCGGAATTGCCTGTGGAGGTTCCGGAGTTGGCTGCCGGTAAGAGGGAGGCCTCCGAGGTGTCCCTCACTGAGTCGGAGGAGGAGGATAGCCCTGAGGCGGCCGCCTCTCTTGAGGATAGCCTGGAGGCGGTTGCCCCTCCTGTTCCTGAGGAGTCGGGAGTTGGCAGTGCCTGGGTTGGGCCCATTCGCGCAGTTAGGAGACCCCGGGCGGTGGTCCCTTGGAAAGGAGGGAAGAACAAAGGCAAGAAGAAGCGTGAGAGGCAGGCCCGATTTCGGGGCCGTTGAAGGAGGCTGGAGCAATGCCTCCTAAGGTCTTGAGGAGGCCCGCAGCAGGTTTGCCGCTGGTGAGGCGCCCTGCTGGGATTCTGAGGAGACCGGCTGCTGCTGTGATAGACCATGAGGAGAACCCTCCTAGGCGCCGTCGCCGTGTGGGAGGAGGAGATGAACTGGTGCTGGCCGAGCTCGATATGGTCAGCTTGGGAAAGTTGCAGAGGATCTGGCTGGATCCATGCGTTTACTGGATGGAAGAAACTTCGGTGGTGGGAGTTGTCAAGGGTGCCCGCATTGAGGGGTCCGAGGTTTATTTGGACCTCTTGGTGGAGGGGACCCGATCCGGAAGACTCTTGGAGTATGTCTCAGGCACTCCTGAAGGGCGCATCAAGCTGCATGTGTGCCCGCGGGAGTGCGAGCAGGAGCTCTGCGAGGATGGCCTGGTACATGGTCGTGTGTTTCGCGAAGTTCCGGGTGTGCCCTCTGAGGCGTGGATGTCAAATGCGTGCCGGGTGGAGCCCGATGAGAATCGTGCCCTTCGTGAAGAAGCTGAGAAGCTAAGAAATGCAGGAGTTGCGGGAGCTCTTGCCCTTGATGAGAACTCCTATGAGCCCGAGGCGGGGGACTTGGAGGCGGATCAGAAGAAGAGGAAGGAGGCAAAGGAGAAAAGAGGAAAGAAAAAGAGGACTAAGGTGGTGCTTGAAAGTAGGAAGGCGTTGAAGGATGTGGTGGGGTCCACGGGATTGGACCCGGACCCTGTGGTGAGGAAGATCGTGTTGAGGCGTGCATCCAGGACAGTGAGGAAGAAGAGGAAAAGGTCAGATGATAGCTCAGGGAGAGCCTCATCATCTTCGATGTCGGAGGAGGAGCCCGAGGAGCTGTTCGGATGCAGCACGAGGCCCGAAGAGGTGGGCCGCCGCTTCCCCGGCGTGTTGGCGGCTGAAGGAATCAGGGAGATGCGAGCCAGTCTCCTGAAGAACACGGGGCAGTTGTGGGATTTGGAGGATGGCCCGCTCCCTCCTCTGAGCACCATGTACTTCAGGCAGACCTTGATGTCGAGGATGGCACCTCCCATGGCTCGAGAGACGCACACCCTGTGCTACGGGCTGGACCTCCTGTTGCAAGGCCGGGCTGCAGAGCTAGGCGACCTTTTGGTGCAAAGGATCAAGAGCCTGGAAGGCGTTGCTGCTGGCCTTCATTACTCGGTGATGCAGAAGATGGAGCTCCTGCCCATGGATGCATCCCGTGTGGCGCGCTATACCGAGGTGCATGACGCGGCTAAGGTGGCACGAGATGAGGCCCGAGCTTTGTCTGCTGGCTCCCGGGCACAAGGGAGAGGAGGTTCAGATTCAGGTTGGGTGCCGTATGGGCCGCGAGGCAGAGATGAGAAAGGTGGCGGAAAAGGAAAAGGCGAGAAGGGGAAAGATAAGGGTCGTGCAAAAGATTGGCCCAAGAAGAAGGAGGAGAAGAAGTGATGAAGAGGAGGCATTCGGGAGAGGACTCCGAGGTGGAGTTTTCTCCTGGGGGAGCCGGGGAGGCGGTCGACCGTGAAGGTCCCCCTCCTGGGCGCCCTCTGGCCGTGCAAGAGCGGCTGAACGCTATCAAGCTGAGGCTCCCAGGGTTAACCTTAGGCGAGGCCGGTGGATGCTTGGTGGATTTGCTAGATCTGTTCAATGTTGGAATGTTGCACTGCAGGTCCCAGCCCATGGAAGGGAAATCCGTATTTCCTCTTCCCCTAGCAATCCTATCCGAGCTTTCACCCGCCAAGCATGCGCTGCTGTCCGCAGTGTGCCGGAGTCTCAACTCCCTTGCGGGATGCACAGACCCGCAAGGCCGGTCCTCGCACGCTGGACGCATGGCCGTGAAACAACTCGCGGCTGCCGTTGAGGTTTGTGAGAGTTGGAGTGAGGTTTTTCAAGATGTGAACTTCTCGGACTTCCTGAAAGTCAAAGGCATTGACTACAAGGGGGATGAGGTGAAACTTGCTGTCAACCTTAGTTGGGAGTGCCTTGCCCCTGCTCTCCCGGATGAAGTAGGGAAACTCAAGTTGGCTGAGCTTTGCACCCTTGGAACCCGCTTTTACGTGGACCATTTCGAGGACTTCTTGGTCCCTTCAAATGAGATGAGTCTAGGCAAGCCTCCCCGAGTTTTTGCCGATGCCAAAGAGTGGCCTTCTATTTGCCAAGGCTTGGTGGGTAAGGGGATCTGCGAGGTGGTGCCTTTGGATGAGCTGTTCCACATACAAGGTCAACCCCTCCTGAATGGCATGTTCGGAGTTGGAAAAGGCGAGTTTGTGAACGGGAAGGAGACACTCCGGTTGATCATGAACTTGATCCCTTTGAACAGAAACTGCCGAGGTATTTCCGGTGACGTTGGAACGTTGCCCCAAATTTCGGGGATGTCTGCCTTCGTGTTGGAGGGGTCTGAAGTGGCCCTCCTGTCGTCTGAAGACATCAGATGCTTTTTCTATCTCTTCCAGGTTCCCCCTGCGTGGAAAAGATTCCTGGGGTTTAACAAGCTTGTCCCCGAGGACCTCGTTCCCTCCTCCCTCACTGGGAGGAAGTGCGTCCTGGCCGCCAAGGTCCTCCCTATGGGGTTCCTTAACAGTGTTAGCATCGCCCAGCATGTGCACCGTAACGTGATTAGGAGCGTGGACCCCCTCCTTTTGACGGGAGATCAAGAGATCCGGAAAGACAAGAGTTTCCCCGTGAGCTCACACCTTTTTAGGATCTACCTCGACAACTTCGATTTCATCCAGAGAGTGGACTCCCAGTTGGCCGTCAGGCTGGAGGGGAGGGAGAGCCCGGAACAGAAGGCTGTCAGGAAGGCCTACGAGTCGGCCTGCCTGCCTCGGCATCCCAAGAAGAGTGTGGTTAGTGCTGAAAGGGCAGAGGTGCAAGGTGCGGTCGTCAGGGGCCACGAAGGGGTGGCTTATCCCCGCCCGGAAAAAGTACTGAAGTACATGGGGCTGGCGGTGGAGCTGATTGTGTGGGGCCGAGCTGGCCTCAAACATTTGCAAGTGGTCGCCGGAGGACTGGTATACATTGCTATGTTCAGGCGCCCGCTGTTCTGTGGCCTCAATTGCGTGTGGCGTCACATTGAGGTTCTAAAGCAGGGAGGTGGCAAGCCCCAGCTTCTACCTCCTGCCGTGGTGGCCGAGCTGGTACGGTTCTTGTGTTTGGTCCCTCTAGCACAACTGGACTTCCGGGGTGAGCTGGTAGGAGATGTCACTGCCAGTGATGCGTCCACCACTGGTGGAGGCATCTGCGTCACAAAAGGCCTCACGAGTTATGGGGTTCATGCCTCCCAGGCCAGTATCCGGGGGGAGTGGCCTGAACCCCATGACATGTGTCAGGTGTTGACGGTAGGCCTTTTTGATGGCCGTGGTGCCCTTCGCCTGGCCTGCGATGCGCTTGGCTTGCCTATGTGTGGGCACATTTCTGTTGAATCACATGCCCCGGCCCGCAGGGTTGTCGAAAGCTTCTTCCCAGGAACCGTGATGTGGGATGATGTACGCACCGTAACTGAGGAAGTCGTTCTGCAGTGGTCCACCCAGTTCTCCTCGGCAGGAGTAGTGCTCATAGGGGCCGGACCCCCTTGCCAGGGGGTCTCCGGGCTCAACGCTGACAAGAAGGGTGCTTTGAAAGATGCACGAAGCTGCCTCTTTGCGGAGGTGCCCCGGATTACCGCGTTGATCCGCAAGTGTTTCCCATGGTGCCAGGTGAAGTTCCTCATGGAAAGTGTTGCATCCATGGATGACCGTGACAGGCATCACATGAGTGAGGCCATAGGTTTTGGGCCCTGGCATGTGGACAGTGGTCAGGTCAGTCCTTGCCGGCGTCCTAGGCTGTACTGGGTCGATTGGGAGCTGGGTGGTGGAGAAGGAGTTTTAAAGCCGCAACCGCCCGGGGCTCCTGGCAAAGATGTCGGCCTGGTGAGCTTAAGCGCTACTGTGGACTGGAAAGATTTTTTGAAGGGGGGTTGGAAGCCGCCTCCGAGTGGTGTGTTTCCCACCTTCACCACTAGTCGGCCTTCCCCCGCGCCTGGCCGCAAGCCTGCTGGGCTGGGAACATGCCAGCCACATGAGCGGTCCCGGTGGGAAGCTGACCGTCATCGATTCCCGCCGTACCAGTACAAGGACAAGTTCTGTGTGTGGAACAAGCAGGGCGACATGCGGCCTCCTGACATCGAAGAGCGGGAGGTGGCCATGGGGTTCCCGTTGGGATACACCAAGGCCTGCATGCCCAAGTCGCAACATGGCAACATCCAGTTCGAAGATTGCCGGCTTAGTCTAGTGGGCAATTCTTGGAACCTCTTCGTGATCACCTGGCTAGTATACTGGCTGTTCTTCCCGTTGGGACTCTGTGCACCGCGGTCTTTGCAGGACATCGTGAAGAGCCTCGCGCCCGGATGGTCTCCTACGTTCCAGGGAGTACTACTGCGGCCCCCTTTGAGGGCTGTCAGGGGCACCAAGGTTGACTCATCATTGAGGCTCGTGAAGAAGTTCCTGGGAGTCATTTCTATAAAAGGAGAGGATCTCCTTCTTCAGGCTTCTACCGATGTCCATGTCCGGTTCCACAGGTTGCGAGCATCTATCCCCAGCAGATTGTGGCGGTGGAGAACTGTGGCCGGATGGACTTGGAAATCACATACGGACCACATCAACGTTTTGGAATTGCGCGCCATCCTGAGCACCGTCAAGTGGCGCCTCGAGCAACGTGGACAGATGCACAAGCGATGGATCCATCTCACTGACTCTCTGGTTTGCCTGCACAGCCTTTGTCGTGGCCGCACGTCGAGCCGCAAACTTCGTAGAACCCTCACCCGAATCAATTGCTTACTCCTCGCGACACGCTCCCAGCCCCTATGGGGGTATGTGCACACGCACCAGAATCCAGCCGACAGGCCAAGCAGGAGAGGTGTCCGTCGCAAATGGTTAAAGCAATGAAGCACGTTGAAGGGAGGTCGCAACGGGAGCGAGCGAAGATTCGGAAAGATTTGGGTTCACTCAAAAGTTTAACTGTGCAGCCAGCCACGCGTACCAGATATGAGAAAGCTCGGACGCGTTTTTTGAAACATTTGCGGGATGGAGGGATCGCAATCCCAAAGCAGAAACTTTTAATGGATGAGTTGGTCTCCGATTATATCGAGACTCTGTGGTCCCAGGGAGAAGGCAGGGCTTTGGCTTCAGATACCTTAGCCGGACTGCAAGATTTGGACCCCAGCCTCCGCCACCAAATGCCCCAAGCATGGCGCCTCATGAAGGCCTGGAACAGCAATGAGATACCAAACAGAGCTCCCCCGTTCCCGGAGAGCCTTTTAAAGGCCATGGTGGGCCGATGCTTGTTCCAGGAAAACCACGGAATGGCTCTTTCTCTGCTTGTCGGATTTTATGGCTTGCTACGCACTGGAGAGTTGCTTAGCATTCAAGCTCGTCACGTTTCCGTGAGTGCGGATCACAAAACCGCGGTTGTTTCGCTGGGGTGGACAAAGGGAGGCAAACGTCAGGGAGCTGCCGAAAGCTGCACAATCACCGTATGGGATGTGGTGCGGCGTCTTGAACAGTGGGTGCTTTCAGTGCCCAGCGGCTCCTATATGTGTGCCTCCCCGTCTACCTGGCGGAAGACTTTTAATCAGCTCCTGGCTGACATTCGAGTGACTGAGTTTGAGTTTCGGCCATATAGCCTGCGCAGGGGTGGCGCTACTTTTTGGTTCCAACGTCATGGCCAGTTTGACAGGTTGTTGGTCCAAGGCAGGTGGCAGGCAGCGAAGACTGCCCGCATTTACCTGAACGAAGGGCTGGCTATGTTAGCCGAGATGAGATTCTCTCAATCCCAACTGAGTGCTTGGGTTCGCTTATACCAAAACGCACTTAGAAGTGCGCTGCCGAGGCTCGAGCGAGCGTCGAGACGCAGTACAGGGGGACGTGGAAAGAGGTCGAAAAGAGGGAAAAAGGGGTGGTGGCTAGGCTGTTCCGGAGTTTCTTTTTCAGACGGCCTCAAAATTGCACCTGAGCGCCCTAGTTTCTTCCGGCTTGGCGGAAGAGCTAGGGGGGGTGCGGGGGGGGATTTCCTCTTTCTTCGGCTTGGCGGGAAAGGGAAATCCTGAGGCCCCCAGTTTGACAAGAAACGGGCAAGGGGCCCAGGGCTAGTTAGCCACCACAAAGAGGACGTAACTTTTTATTTATGACAAAGTTGGACTTGCTGTGCGCAGAAAAAGTGCGGCTTACTCTTTGGACTCACGTAGCGGGTATAAAGAGTAAAGCACTTGTCTGCCGCAGCCACGTCAGCTTAAGGTCCCGCCCACCCTTCCCCGAAAAGAGGGAAAAAGGGGTGGTGGCTAGGCTGTTCCGGAGTTTCTTTTTCAGACGGCCTCAAAATTGCACCTGAGCGCCCTAGTTTCTTCCGGCTTGGCGGAAGAGCTAGGGGGGGTGCGGGGGGGGATTTCCTCTTTCTTCGGCTTGGCGGGAAAGGGAAATCCTGAGGCCCCCAGTTTGACAAGAAACGGGCAAGGGGCCCAGGGCTAGTTAGCCACCACAAAGAGGACGTAACTTTTTATTTATGACAAAGTTGGACTTGCTGTGCGCAGAAAAAGTGCGGCTTACTCTTTATATATATATAGATATATAGATATATATATGCGTGTTTATGTTGTATCTATGAAAGAAGCAACTGCGCATTTCGGCCGTATCATTCCCAACAAGGCTCCTCGGGTGCTCCAAACACTCATTTGTCGCACGTTTGGCTGCGTCCAGGCGAGAATACAGAAGTTCCCCATATTTCTCGGTGTCGTCTGAAACATCCCTTGTTTGACCCAGTGAGTTTCCCTCCGGCTAGGGATATGGGCTCGCATCCTCGTAATTATCACCAAGAAACCCGCCAAAGCGTCCAGCAAGCCCCTCTTTTTGGATTCACGACCCTTTGCCTGGTTTGTTCGGCGGTGTGTATTACCAAACGTAGATGTTTCTCAGGGGCCGTCGACCAGAAAATGAACATGAAGTTGCAACCATATTTGTGTTGTTCCCTTTCCGATTTCCCGCGGGTCGGGATTTCCGGTGATTTTGCTCCAAAGTTCCATCCCCACGGGATTCGTGAGCGCCCAGGCGCTGGCGGCGGCGGCGCGGCGGCCAGACCTGGAGCAGAAGCTGAAAGAGCTGAAGGCGCGGAGCGCGGAGCGATCGCCATCCGGTTCCTTCGGCTTGGGCGAAGGGCCGTGGGGCTGTGGTGTTTTCCACGGAAAGGAACGAGGTCGAAGCGTTTTTGGCTGATCTGGGAATGGCCAAGTCTTTTAGAAGGTACCAAGCCTTCTCAGGTTTGTAGAAAGTAAAGCCAAGCTAATCCCCCCCCATGTTTGGGGAGCTTGGCCTCGGGAGTTCCCCGATGTTGCCACGTACCCTTTTCAATAGAGCTCGGACCTTTTGAACGGCCACTCTCACTCAGGCGTCATGGTGAGAGGAAGGTTCTAGAAGACAAGTTTCCAAAGTAAAGGCCTTGTGTCCACTGCCATGTTTGTTGGAGATAATGGGGAATGGCAGGAATGGAGATAATGAAGGCACAGGGCAATCAATTTGATAGATGGAACGTGGGATTATGCTGTCCAACAGTGTCACGCTGAGCCACCATTTGGTTGGAACACGTCGAAACCTGCGACCACAAAATCGAGGACGCAACAAAACCGCCCTGGTGTATGTTGTTTTTCTATTTCCTGCATGCGGGCTCTTTGAATGGGTGGCTTTGAACTATTATTTGCAAGCCCAATTGCTGGTTTCTAGCACACATGTTTGTAAGGTAGGTCCATTTGTGGTCGAGACGTCCTGCAGGCAAGGCCTTTCTAAGTCATGCTGTTTGCCTGTCAGTACCAAAACAAAGCAACAATGTGTGGTTCCCGAAGTTCCCCTTTACCTTGTAAGCAAGAGCACCTTCAAGTATGAGCACACACATACCTACATACATACCTACGTACATACATACCTACCTACCTACCTACATGCATACACACATAAATACATGCATCTATATTTAAGAAAAAAGAATATACACTGACAAACTCATACACATGCATACATGTGTATCTTATATATCTATCTATATGTGTACGTATACACACATTTGATGGTTCTGTTGCAAGCTGCCAGGGGGAGGTGGCAGCCCTGCGGAAGCAGAAGGAGCTGGAGCTCCAGAACCAGGCGAGGCCCTATGTGCTCAAGCGAAGTGTAGCAGCTTCCGTACGGGGCTGAAGAGAGCCGAGGAACAAAGTGAAGAGAGAGCCAAGCAACGAGATGGCCAACTGCCCCCCCAAAAAAAACACGAGCGCGCCAAGCGCTCGACAAGCCTCGGCCGGCTTCGCGTTGTGCGGTTTTTGCGCACAAGGCCGGAGCCAAAACAACCCCATGACGGCAGAAAAGCATGTCTCCCCACTTTGTCCTGGGCTTCCCTTTCAGGATTCAGGTCAAAGGCGCAGTGCTGCAAGTTCGGGGAGGCTCTTTTCCTGACTTGCAGCTAGGACGTGGCAATGAGCCCCACGGAGGTTCTCTCGAAAGGCTCTTTCAGTGGCTGTGCTTCAGTGCTTCAAGCAGCTCGCCCGTCGCCCATTCTGGCAGTCCACTGGTCCCCAAGACAAAATGCGTTCTTTGCTCGGCACCGTTTCTTGGTTTTGCCCTCGAAACCATTTCTCACAGTCTTGCAAACCAAAGAGTCCAGTGGCTTGCCCAAGCCTTCCCCCCCTAAGACGATGGGCCCCTTCCCCCAGATCCCCGCGGCTGACGATCCCCGCGAGCGCAAAACACGACTCCAGGCCCTCAGCGCCTCCGACTTGGAGCGGCGCCTCGCGGACTCCGAGGCCGCGAGCCGTCGAGTCGACCCGACTCGACTCGGGCGCATCTCCACGGGACATGGGCCGCTTGTTTGTTTGTGTGTTTGTTTGTTTGTTTGAAAAAAAAAAAACGGGGACCTCCCAAAATGCTGGTCTTTTGGTGGGTTTTCCTAAGCCACCAAAAATCGGATAGCCCCAAAAAAGACAAGCCCAATGTCCGGAAGTCAAGTGGGTGCGATGTTGATCATTCGCTGGACGATGACTTGCGGGTATATGTGGGTGTTTGCGTGTGGGTGTGCGCTTGTTTGCGTGCTTGTTTCGCGTTGTCCTTTGCGGCTTGAAAGTGTTGGCGCTGCGTTTGCGGGCTTTTGCAGCCAAAAGAAGTCGAGCCATTGGCAGGCCCAGGTTGTTCGCTCGTTTGCGGAAAGTTCCTCAAGGGTTGCGACAGCCCGATTTGGGAACGTGTTTGTGAAACGCTCATAATTTTGTCAGGCTTGCGCGGCAACCCAAGGAGAACAAATTGTGCAATTGAGTTTTTTGAAGGTTGTCCACAAAGCACCCCGTGGCAGAACCCTGCTTTGGATGTGCTAGCGAACTTTGATGTTGGTATGGAAAGCCCCCGTTTGGGCCCATGGTCACGCGTGAAATCGAGGGTGGGCCAGCCTGCAGTTGGACCTGTGATTAGACGGTCAGACTTGGCTGCCTCACCCATTCTTTGTCTTCGTGTGCCTTGACAGGAGGCGCGAGCAAAGTTAGAGGAGCCGCAAGTTGTTCTTTGCCCGCGACTTGGGGGAGTTTCCCAAATGTTCGGTGGCCAGAACTTGCCCCTGAAAATATTGCCAGACTCGGCTTACCTTTTTGGTATTTTCCCTTTCTGGTTTCCTGCATTTTCTGTGTCAACCGGCAAAAGCTAAGTTTTGGAGGGCCCTGTGAAGAGCAGCTCGCTGTAAGAAGCAGGTGTCCGGCCCACATACCAGTCTCAGAAATCTTCCCCTCGTGTTTTGGTGGCCCATGCGCAAGTCAGTCTAGTTTCCACTGTTACTTGTGAGGCCCCACTGGATATTTGCTTCGAGCATCAAGGTCTATAGGTGCTGTGTAACACAAGACTCAAACGTTTTGCTGCGGCGTGGGGGTGGAGCGGCCGGCTTTATGTCGCTCGGGGTGGTCACACCCTTGTGTGCACACCCTTGTGTCTAGCGGTTTACGGAAAGAGCCTCGTTGCTCTGTGAATTCGACACTCGGTGTGACATCATTGGGGCCTGCAGTTTGAGCCATCTCTGCAGTGAAGCCACGGTTGACCCTCAAGGCTGCATTTTCCCACCAAATCACCGCTTTGTTTTTGTTGGCAGGTTACCTGCAAGTGCCTTTTGGGTCTTTTCTGGGAAGACCAAGCACAACAGGAGTGCGATTCGATTCCGACGGGCTGTTTGTTAACGGGCAGCCAGCAAAGTTCCGTAAGTTTCCACACGACTGAAGACACAAGCAAGCTACATCGCATGCAATCTTGCGATGCGTCCGAAGGAGCAAACAAGTAAAGCCGCTGTGGTGTGCAGCTGTTGTTGGACTTGCCGAGCTTGCCCGGGTTGTTGCCGTAGAATGCTGCCACTCCAAAGGTTTCCAAAAGTTCCACAAGGTTATCTTCCAACGTAGGCTTCTGGTGTGAGTGTGAGTGCGCGTCTCTCTTTCGTTTTTTAGCTTTGTGGGCACCCCCAGCTTGGCCCAGAAGGCGTCTGCAATACACTCTCTTCACCAACCCCCCCACCACGGCTGGGGGTCCAACCAGCCATCGACAGGAGGAGTGTCGGAAGCACACGGCGGAGGTGCAACGCCGGGCCGAGCTGGAAAGCCAACAGGCTCTCCGGGGCGTCTGGCTTGGGGTGTGCTTTTGATACAGTCTTTGAGGTTGGTTAAAGAAAAATGTCGATGTGGGGCACAAATCCCGGAAAACACATAACTTCACAAAAGGGCCCCCGTTTTCGGCACTTGGTTTGAAGCCGAAGCACATCATCAGCTAAAGGGCCTTCTCGCTGGGCAACCTGTGAAGTGCCTGTCGGCAATTTATGCCAACGCCAGGGGGGTGGCGGAGCCCATCTTTCTTAGTGATGTGGGAAATCTATTGTCCCATGCGTTAGACGTGCCGACTGGAAGGTAACATCAACACGCTTTATGGAGCTCCATTTTCGTGGCATCCTACCCCCCGAACAATCTGTCTTTGAATTGATCACTCAGCCAATCAGTCAGTCAGTCAGTCAGTCAGTCAGTCAGTCAGTCAGTCAATCCATCCGTCGATCAATCAATCCGGAGTCAACATTGGTGCAGATAGGACCCTTCTACATTTTGGCATGGGACCCACTGCGGTCCTCTGATCGTTTGCTTCCATTGGCCGTGAGATGCAATCCCTCAGGCCCTTCATTCCCGATACATTTCCCCTTCTCGTCAAGAGAGAGATCATGGGATGTCATAATGAAAGTTGCCCCCGGATGAATGAACTTCCGGTTGAGGGGAACCTGTTTGAGGGGAACCCCCCCTCCCCACAACGAATGTATTGTGCAGGGTTGATTCATCCTGGTTCGACATCATAACACTCACCATGTCTGCACAGCACCCAGAAGGAACCTTTGTGGGGGTCGCAAACAAATCTCCTCGGGGGGCAGATCCACTAGTTGTGCTGCGAAGGCGGACATCGCCAAGTCCTTTGCAGAGCTCCAGACAGTTGTGTCCCAGCTGCTGCCGGTGCTTACCGAGGCCTGAGTGCCGTCCTATGCATCCGGAGCCTATGGCGGTTCACGGATGCCCCGTCCCTTCATCTGCATCTAGCTATCCGTTCTGGAGTTGGGATTGGGATGAGATAGGAGGGGAGAACGAAGAAGAGGCAAGGGATGCCAAAAGGGAAGTCTTGCCGGCAACCAGGGCTCATAAGGTGGTAGTCTCTTGTAAACTGCTGACCTCACTTGGGGAGACAACCTTTCTGCACGAGCGATGAAGGTCCGTTTCTTGGCGATCCCCTGAATTGGATCATTGTATGTCCATGTGATTCGTCTCGCAAATGCGTTCGTTCCATTCTCCCACAAGTAGATTTCCTGAAAACAAGCACAAGTGATCAGGAAGGAGACTGATCCGGCGGCAACTGTGAGATGGCTGATGTTTGCCATGCCGAGCCACAGATGCTGGAGATCTCTTTTTTTTTCGATTTGGGCCAAGTTGTTGAAGCTGGGCAACAGGAGGTTGTGGTTGAGCACTGGTTTCAGCAAGTCGCAAGGGGCTGGCCCAAGCCTGGAGGACAGCTTGATGAATCTTGGACCATGCGCGATGCCTTCTGCTTTTGTCAGGTGCAAGAGCTCTCCGTCCGCCCTTGACAACTTGACAAGGCCTCATATCTTGCTTCAGTTCAAGCTAGGGCCTGGCTGCCTACACGGTTTGCTTCCAGGCTTCGGCCGCAGCCCTCGCCCCTTTTCGTCGAGGGTGTCCAAGGGCCCACCGAAATCTTCGCAATCAAGAAAAGGAGCCGGCCTTGTTGTAGATGACTTCATTTGAAACCTACGAGGGTTCAGGCTCCATATCTAAGCAAATTGTCGGAGGAAGTTTAGAAGGAGCGTCAGTGCTGCGGACACTAATTGAAGGTAGCTTGCGCACAGATAAGATGATGACTGAAAGAATACACGCGAGAAAACATGTGCGAGAGTGTGGCGGGGAAATAGGAGCCGCGAAAACGAGTGACCCTATGGTCGCGACGCAACGCCTGACGGACCACTGGTCCCCGAAGCCCAGTGGCAGTATCAAAATCAGCTAGCTCAAAGTATAATTGAATTTATGAATGGAGGATTGTTCATTTCAAGATGATATTAGGTTTCAGGATTTATATATCAATTCAAAGTTTAATGAGCCAAATGGAAACTGTGATTTGGTATTTGCATGGTGTGCCAACTCATCGTGGAATTTAAACGAAACAATTGAAACCCATATGCGGACGCACACACTTTTCGTGACGTCAGTTTTTTGTGACCAGCGCTTTACTTCGGCAGCCTGAGGGACACATTGCGTGACTCGCGCGCAGATTGCGTGGCAGCTGCGCATCTTGGCAACACTGGCACGGACGCATCACCAGTTAGCACGCGGTACAGATTTCGTGGCAGGCGCAGCACTCTCGAGCGCTGCTAGATAGATATGTTTAGAGATAGATTGACAGATGAATGGCTGGTCCAGACGGATAGGCAGGGAGATAGAAGCAATTAGGTTGGTAGGTAGGTAAATATATGGCAATGCAAGATCGGTAGATATACAGCGACAGATCGACAGATTGATCGATAGATAGATAAATCGGTGGATAGAGGAAACGGTAAAGGGAAAGAGAACCATAGTTCTCATATTTTTAAAACTTCTGCCAACCGGCTTGCCCTGACCCCCACGGTTCCCTGTGACTCCACACTCCGGTTGAGGGTTTGCACAGCAATCTGTGCACCATGGGCCAAGCCCCACCACCGGACCGATCGCCAGCTCTACGAGCAGCGTGCGCGGCTCTCCGAGGAGAAGAGCGCGGCGGAGGACATGGGGCGGCTCCGGGCCAGAGCTGCGCGGCGTGGGGGGTGTTAGGCAACGACAATCTCTTGGCTTGGCACCCATGTTTTCTGTGTTTCTGGGGGTGGGGGTCCCATTTTCAGACAACCAAGTGCTTTTCTCGTGACATCCGGCATGTTGAAGGCTCACCAAATCATGGTCTGTTACAACCCAAAAAAATACCAAAAGCTGACGTCCTGCATAGGGTGTGGGTTGGGAACCACCAAAAAGGGTCCGCGCTAGCGCACTTCGCTTCTGCTTCAAGCTTCAACAGGTACCACGGTGAAAACATGGAGGGGCATTCCAATCTCCCATGTCGTCTTGTTTTCCCACAACAGAGTCAGGACTCTAGGATAATGTTGGGAAAGGAGGAAGAACAAGAAGAAGGTTTTGTTTGTCAGCCTTTGGCCGATCAACATTGTATAGTGTCGGATCTCAACGGCTCTGGCACATAACGGCTCACTCAGAGTTTTGGCCTCTTTGTGCATGGATGTTTGGATCGGGAGTTGGAAACCTTGAATGGATCGGCCTTGCAGCATTTACATGCATGGCCTGGTGTGCAGATCCACAAGACTTCCACGCCAATCACCAGCCGGGTGCGGGCTTGGTGCAACCAGCCAAGTGGTTTCGTTTGAGGAAACCAGCATGTCCATCCCGCAAGGAGTGATCCTGACTCGAGTTTTCCCCTTTGGCCTGTGTCTAAACCCCATTGTGTGCAGTGGCACTCCTTTTCCTTTTTGGTTTGGTGGGTTTCCGCAAATGGTCAACCCAAACAGATTGACCAAGCTCAGGAAAGCTACCCCAGTTGACTGCCTGCAACCGGTTGCGGTTGGTGTGCAATTCTGATGCCATTCTGGAGGTCCACCCAAAAACCGCTCCCTGGTGGCCTTTATTCCCAGGACAAACCAGTACTACGCACTACTAAACCAACTGATCCATGCTAAACCAACACCAGGCAGACAGGACAAACGACCGAAGTGGGCTGGAGATTTGGGGGGCAGGAACAGAGAAACCGAGAACCAGGAGGTGATGGAAACTGAGGTGGAACCGATCCCCTAACGCCAAAAGGAGTGATGCAAGTGGTTTAGACCGGCCGGCCGGCCCACGCAGGAGACGGCGAATAAGTTGAAGTCGGAATTGCAGCGACAGCGACTGCTGTGGACGGCAGGGGCTCCCATTGTGACTCTGAGACGGGGTTCAGGCGTGTTAGCTTCACAAATGAGCACCAAATGTGTCCATTCGGAATTCATCTTTGTGCAGAGCGTGAATGAGTGTGCGTGTGATTGTGTGATGTTTGTATTTCGACGCGTGTGTTCACGTTTGCGGGCGCTCGCGCGTGTATGTGCTTTGCATGTCAGAATGACATCCTCTAGTGTTCGACCGCCTTGAGGGGACGCGTCAGCAATTTAGGCAGCACCCAGAATCTCCAGCCACTTTGTTTAGTAGATGGTTCTATTATCTATTACCTGGTGTCATGGAGGTTAAATCCTATATGAGCCTTTATAGCCCCTTGTGCTCATTTGAACACCGAAAACGGTGGGCATCGGGCCTGCGAATCGAATTCCAAAAAGTTGCTCAAGCCTTGCTGGGGTCGAGCAGAAGCCAAAAAGAAGCCAACAGCGCTGCGCCTTGCGCATGGGGAACCCTCCAAACAGCGGTTTCGTGTTCAAACAGGTTGTCCCAAGTCTGAATGTTGACTGGCTCATCTCATGGAAACTTCGGAATGAACCTTGATTGGCAGGGGCTTCCATCGTTGTTTTCTTTGGTCCCTTTGGGTCTGTTGAAATGGGCTGTTGCCGAATTGGGCTCAAGCAGAGCACCTCCAAGTTGAGCAAACCTGACTGGAACCCAAGATTGCTCCAAAGACTACCAGTCTTTGCCATTGAAAAAGCCGATGCGGACCTGTCACAGAGACTTCATGACTAAGAGATTGTTCTTTCTCGGATGTGAAAACTGCCTTGTGATGCTTGGTTTAGTGTTGGTTTCCTTCTCAATGGGGGCCTTGGCGCCGAAGGATTTGCCTCAGATTTAGGGACCTGGTTGGGCTTCGCAAATGGGCCTTTGAGAAACACCGGGGAATGGATGGAGAGACCTCTACAACCTTCTCTTGTCGGCAAGGGATGGGGCTTTCTAGTTGGACACTTTGCCTTGGGTGAAGGCATAAATAGAATCAGAATTGCAACGTCCGGCCGTTTCCATTGCCTCCCGGAGGCCCCGGGCACGACAGACTGCGATGCGGCGCGCCCTTTTGGGATTCGACGCGGTTTGGTTTCCGGGCCCGCCCTCCCATATCCCAAATGTGTGAACGCATTGTCCGAGGATTCCAACCCTTTTTTTTCCCAACCCGTTTTGTTCAGGGTTCAACCCCACCCATTTTTGAAAAGCCTCCCAGGTTTTGGAATCCTTCGGCTGGGAAAGGGAAGCCATACGTCCAGTGTGGGTTTCTTGGCCTCGTTGCAAGCGTTGCCTGTGGAACAGCTGGCGAAAGCTTTAGGTCCTTTGGAAAGAGAGGCACTGGCCATGGGCCGTGCCATCTGGGACCCGTTTGGCTTTGCTGTTTCTTCAAGACTCCGCGGCCTCAAAGCGCGAAGATGTATTAATGGGTGTTGACCCCGTTTTGCGAGGGAGGCACGGTGGCACCGTGCCGTACCGAAGCTCCCCTCTGTTTTGGGTTGGCTCGAGTGTAAACCGACCCGGCCAGGCCGCGCGAATGCGAGGGGCTTCGCCGTGGCGAGGCACGATTCGAAGCGATTCGCACTCGCGAATGCTGCGAACAGGGCGGTAAAAGCCCTCAGGCAAAACGTTGCGCTCAGAGCGCAGAGCTTGGTTTTGTTCTTGCCTCGTCTTGTTTATGTTCTCTTTTTTTTGTGTTTGGGGGGGGGGGGGGGGTGTTATTCTTGATCAAACTCACTTTTGGGGCAGGGCATGTGCATCTCCATTCCAAGGGTAAGTTTAAAAGTATCAAGATCATCGGCAAGTCTTGCGTGTAAAGGAAGCCACAAAGGGCATGGATTGCTAGTTTCTCCACAGGTTGAGAGTGAGGGCCTTGTACACCTGTGTAGCGTCGATAGAACCACAAGTTGATGAGTTGCTGTTGTTGTCGTTCTTCTTTTTTTTAACATCAAAGACCTCGTGGACGATGCTATCATGGCAGCACCCGCGACCAGTCGACTCCTTTCCGGCAGTTCTCGTTTTCGATGACAGACCAATGGTTGGTGGTTTCAACAGCAAAACGCTTCGTTCTGTCAGCGCGGATTGTGCGAAGCTTCCTTCGTTATTTGAAATTGAATCTGATTCCAGATTCCATTCCTTCGGCGCAAGCGTAGCTGGATTTCCTCTTGCCTCTAAATCCAATGGAAAGAAGAAAAAGAAAAAAACGGTCCCCCGAAAAAGCAAGCACCTCTCGTGTCTCGCCCGAGGCCCCACGCGTGCCTCGTCGCTCTCCGCCACAAAGCGGGCGGCGGACGTCTACGGCCGCGACCTGCACCGAGGGCCAAGCCCCTGCCGGCTGAGGCCGGGCGGAAAACGAGAACACGGGGCGTGTCTAGTTTGGACCCCGAAAAACTCACGGGTTTGTTTTTGGTTTCCCTTGAACCCGACCCAAAGGGCAAGACAAGTGACGCTTGTAGTTTGCCCTTGGACACGCAATGCTAAACAGGGGTGCTCTGAACCTCAGCGCTCCAAGAGAAGTTTGGCTGTGCGTCTTTTGCTGGCCTTGGGGGGCGGCACTTTCGACCCTTGCGGCGGGTGTGTACTTTGTGGAGGCCCCTTTTGGGTTGGTTTAAAGGGGAATTAAGGAGAAACCACTTTGTTGCTGTGGACACTCATCATCCGTCCGGAACATAAGAACGTGCCCAGAAACAGCCGAGACGGAGTCGCACAGCTGCGACAAGGTGGGCCAAAATAGCCGGAAGGCCTCCTACCCCGATCGGGTGGAAGTATTTCATGTTTTTTAGTGGCACGAACACTGATGATGTATGAGCCTTTTGGCGCAAGCCAAAGTGAAGCCTTGAAAGTTTGGAAGCCACTCAGGTCACAAGCGTCAAAGTATTCAACCTGTTGTTCAAGTGTTGCTTTGCAGCAGCGATAGACACCAAAGATTGGCAAGCTACCGTGTTGCTCAAATGGTAATTCAGCTCTTGCAGAATTGCCTACCACTCTTTCGCCACTCAAGCAGCATTTGCGACACGGTTTCCTTCAGATTTTGCCGGGGGTTGGGAAGGGTCACGTCCATGAGCTCGGACATTCACAAACTCAATGTCTTGGGTTTGCTTTTTCAGCTGGCAACCAGGGGCGCCCACAGATCAGAGTGATCAAGCCTGAACATCAATGTCGCCAGTTCGCTGAAACCGATAAATGGACAGGAGGGCCAAGGGAGCTGACATTGGCATCTGCTAAAACTGTTCTGATCACGCGGGGGTGTCTGAAAGACGTCCGCAGCAAAAAAGCCGACAACCGCAGAGCCCATTTAGCAAATGGGTCAAGAGAAGGGTTCCTTTGGATTGCCAGAAGCAGCTAAGGGCATCTCATAATTATGGTTCTTCTTGTTCCAAAAAAGAGAGGGACAAAAAATCACCGCACCTTCCAGCTGATTTATTCTCGCCAACATGCGTTTCAACAACCAGTCCCTTCCCTTCAAAAGAGAGTGACCACAGAGGTGACCGGAGGCACGGATTCGAAGAGTTGCCAACTCCAAAGGCTTTCATGGCACCGCGTCGCAGGTGCCGCGCGGACGTGCGCGAGGCTTGGAAACCGAAGACACCAGGCGACTCGGAGCTGACCAAAAGGGGGGAGAGGGGATGTCGTTCTTTGGGGAGCGCCCTTTTTGTTGTTTTTGAAGGACAAGCCACAAGGAAAACCACAATTTGAGGATGGCCCCGTACTCGGCAAACGAAATTTGAAGCAAGGGAACTCTCGAAGTCGGCAGAAAAAGACAGCCTTGAATCAAACCAGGTGGTTGAAAAGCACTCCTTGTGAATTTCCTGCGTTCTGCGTTTGTTTGGCTGTTCAAGTGCGCGGGGACAGTGCAAGAGATCGGGGCAATTTCTAAGCCAATTCTATGACTAAGAAACTCGAATGATCGCTCGTGCGTCTCCTCTTTTCGGGTTTGGGTGCATGTTTTGTCAGAACTTTGGGGAGCTTCAAGTCATCAGTTTCGGTTCAGCAAATGCAGACATAGATTAGATTATGTAGATTAGACTATAATAGAATAGATAGCTTGATATCAGACATGTAATGTCGACGCAATGCAATGTGCTGTGACATAGGGTGTTGTGTTGTGTTTGACGTGTATGTAACCAATGTATTGCATGTAATGTGTGTGTGTAACGCATGTCATGCAAGGCAACCCCGCGAAATGGTGCTGGTTGAATTTGAGTTGCAGACACACAGGAACCGTTTCATGGACTCTGTTACAATATTTTGAGGCAAGCCACACACGGTCAATCTTATCATCCTTGTTTGCCTCGTAGGAAGAAGTTTCTCTGCATCTTCCGCTGGTACATCTCTGCGAGATACACTTTGGATGAACCATTCTATTTCAGGTGACTCCAACCAGATAAAGCCTCCGAAGTGTTGTCACAGCATTTGGTCATGTGGATTCTATGGGGGCTTGCGAATAAGTCTGGACAGGTGTGTAGAAGACCTGCTCCAAGGCCCAGGCCAAGAGCACCTCGCAACATTGGCCATATGGCTGTGGGTCACAACCAATGGTACCAGTTTGGGGTAGGTGCACCACCCATTTGAGAACCTATTTGAGTGGGGATTGGGATGTTCACTGGGGGTACGGGCTTTTTACCCATGGCCATATGAAACAAATGTGGAAGGACATTTCTTGAATCGCCAAGGCTCTTCCTTTGGGGGCACCAGAGTTCGGGTTTCAGGTTTCAGGTCATGCGCTGTGTCCAGATCATTCCCGGTCAGCCAGTTGTTCTGACCCAAGCGCAACACCATGCGGGAAGCAGCAACAACCTCACGCATCTTGATCTGAGCAGCCAACCCGTTTTTTGGCCCAGTGACCCATGCAACCCCAAGCCCTCGGCCAAATCACGTCGGGTCGATCCGCCAGACCTGGCGGAGCTGGAGAGTGAGCTGCACCGTTTGGCGCCCGGAGGTGGCCCGGAACCAAGGCGTCGGCAACGAGCTGTCCAAGTCACAAGCCTGGGTCCCGCAGTCAGATGAACATGGAGAAAAGGGCCCATTTCCCAAAAGGAGATTGGGCCCTTGGAATCCGTGTTTTCTCGTTCCATGTGAATCTGGGGAGGCCCACACGCATATTCCACCCACCCATCTAGTGGGCCTAGGCCAGCGCCTCAGCGAGACTCACATCCGCGAGCTGCTGGCAGTCATCAAGAAGACGGCCAGCCGGGCACCTCAGAAACTCCAAAGTGGCCATGGCGACTCAGGGTACTTTCAGCATATGGGTATGGGTCTAAATGTGTCTCCATGGACCGCAGGTTTTAGTCCCTGTTTCCATTTACTAGGGCAACCCATTTGGGGTACCCATTTTCGACCAACACCCATGTCATTTCAATGGACCCAGTATTGGCCATTAGCTGTGGTACTATTTGGCGTTATAGGGATCAGCTAGAAGGGCCCTTGATGGGCTTTAAAACCAAGTTATGTGATGATGAGATTATCATGTGTGTAATGTATTGAGAGCCCCTTATACTCTTTGGCTTCACGGTCATCAAAAGAAGCCCTGAAGCTGCACCTGTATAACCATGTAGGCAGAACAACCGCCTGAGCTTTGTTAAACGCTCAGATTTATAATGGATATTTTCCATGCCCTGGGTTCACCACCATGAGATCATATTAGGAACAAACACAGGCAGAAGAACACAAGCAAGCAAGCAAGCAAGCAAGCAAGCAAGCAAGCAAGTAGGCACTACGCATTCAGGAAATGAACCTTCCGCTTAAGGCCTGTTTCTGCAAATAAACCCATGGGACAAAAAGGACAGGGAGCGATCCCGTGAAGTCGCCCGCCAGATGGCGACAGCATGCCGGCCCAGACCTGCACGGAGCTGGTGGGGTGGGAATCGGATGGGGCGCTGTTTACACCGGGTGCATGCGGAACATCGATGAAGATGCACAAGGTGAAAGTAGATAGCGCAAATCCCCTTGTCTCAGTAGGTAAGTCTGGTAAAGCCTAAACGGGGAAATTGTGCCCCAACTGCAGTTGTTGATGTTGATTGGTTTCTTTCCCTTTGCAAGCATACGTATGTACCACAATATTGTACAGGGAGGCCAGTCCAGAGGGGTCCAGGAGCCTTTTGGATGTTTAGAGTCCTGGTGGCATCTTGTGGGCTGCAAGCCAACAAAGGGGAAGCCAACGGCAAGAGAGGCCGGCAAAAAGCCAACTAGTTCCGAAAGGTTCAGACATTCCCACACCTTTTTCAGATTCAACAAAGTTTGAGCCTCGTGAAGAAAGCCTGCAGTGAGACAACAACAAGCATAGGAGCATAGAGAGACTCCGCTTTCAGTGGGTGTTTCCAGATATATTTTAGGGCAACTTGAGGAACCACCAACCCCTCGGAGGCTTATGGGGAGAAGAATCAAGCGCTCTCTTAAAAGACGTTCCACACTTCCGGGGAAGAAAGTGTATTTTCCTTGAAATGGGGGGGGTCAAACAGCAAGACAGTGGCATGCGAATTTGCGAGGGCATGCGAGGGCTGAGTCACGTGTTGCAACTTTCTCTCTCTCTCTCTCTCTCTCTCTCTCTCTCTCTCAAAGCCAAGCTAGTCAAGATGGATGTCCCATTGAGGACTATGCCATTTGAGAGGTGCCCAACTCAGTTGGGAAATTGGGTTTGGCAAAGGTCTGGATCAATTGGCAATCGAGTGAACTCAGGATCTGCAGTTGGGTACGACTAAATGACTGGGGTGCTGTCGTATTGGCTGCGACACAGCTTGGGTGTTTTTCAAGGATGCCATGTTTGGACAGGTTTTGCATAGCTTGTAAGCGAGTGCCCCGACCGCTGGGCCACTCATCTAATCGAGCTTTGAATCGGATCTGAGGAGTCCCTGGTGGAACCCAGGATTCAGGCCCTGGGTTGATCAATAGGCCGTCCCATTTTAGAGGGCATCCTTCACTTTCCGGGAAGCATCCCCCAATCAATCTGCAAGTTCTATCAATCGCGGGTCAACATTGTGGTCTCGAACTGAGATCTCCTGAAAATCGGCAAGTTATTGCCTTCCAGATTTGCATCCTCAGATTGCACTTGTGCTGTTCGGTCACTGTCTAAAACTCCAGCATGCGTCCATCGATCAGCTGGGGATCATGCTGCTATTTGCAGTCCAGGTCAGTTCTGCCAATTGCAACTTGGCGCTTCGCAAGCCTAGCCTCCTGTCCTCCTGTCGCTTTTGTCGCGCAGAAGTTGGGCCATGGGTCAGAGCTCGAATACTTCACCCTGCAACCCTTCAGGGAAAATCTCTTTGACCATTCCTATTCGACTGCTGACTGGACTGAGTCCATGATATCCATTCAGGAGTTTTGCAAAGTCGGGGCTTCTGTGGGTTGCTTTGAACAGGGAAGCAAAGGCCAACTGGCCATTTGAGCCACAATCAAAACGGGCAAGTTAGGGTCAGTAGGGGGCAGCCCCACCCCAAGCGCCACTTGTTATGGCCATCCCTTTCAAGCAGGCAGAGCTGGGAGGCGGAAGTTTCAAAGACAAGAGAACTATGGTTTCTTTCGCTTCTCTTGCTCCTTCTCTTCCTGTTCTCTTCTCTCTTTCGGGTTCTGTCTGCGCTGCCACGAAATCTGCGTGGACGCTGCGCACGTCCTTGCCAACGAAATTTGCAACGCGCGCGTTCCAGCATTGCCAAAGCGCTCCGCCTGTCACGCAATGTCGCCAGGAGTAGTTTCTTTCCCTTACCTTTTGCGCAGAGCTATCTTTAATTAGTGTTAGTAACACGGAAGTACGACTTATTTGCGGGGGCCCATTCTGGGGAAGAAACACCTCGACCCAGGAGCCGCGGGAGCCAGCAGGGGCACCAAGGGGTCCAATGAAGATCAGGTGTCAAAACCAGATGGGCTGTTTGGGGGCAATGGTTGAGACTTGTTGCAAGGAATTTGACATGAAAGCAACCAGTTGAGACCCGGGTTCTAACATATTCCCATGTGGCTGTCCCAAGATGTCAGCAAATGAGCACGAACTCCGCTCAGATGCAGGGAACACGGTGCACAACGAGTCTTGAGGGGCGCTGGCAAGCTCTTCAAGCGCAACTGCAGTTATCTTGCAATTTAGCCTGTATGCTGACCCTACCAGCCTGCCCACGAAAAGACATCTTCTTGCAATTGCAAATCTCTGAAAAAGCAAGTTTGCACTTGAGGCTGCCTTCTGAAACGCTAGGCCACCAAAAGAGTCCCCAGTTTGAAAAGCTCCCCGTTGTCCAGAGTGAGTCGTCCTGTTCATCTTGCTTGATGGATTTTCCACAGTTTGGGCCTAAAGATTGCTCTCAAGACTGACTCGCGGGGCAGCGGTTTAGCGTTGGCTTTGTATTGGTTGTGTTTCCTTGCTTAGCCTTAGGCGTCTTTCTCGCTGGAAACGCACCAAACCCACCCTCGGGGACTAGGCACCTTGCCAGGCCATGTTGGACAACCGTACAGGAGAAAGCCAACATCGATAAGTCCGACGTTAAGCCAGCTTCACGGGGCCTTGAGCTTCCGAGTTTAGAGGTGAAACTATGAACCTTTTCACCTACAGACAGCACATGAGCGCGCACATAGGAGGTCTTAGACGTCACATTGTGGCTCGTCAAGCGTGGCATTCGGGATTCCTTTGTGAATTGAATCAGCTGAGCCAATGTGTCTGATTTGGCCTTCGCGACAGGAAACAAAAGAAAACCTGGAGAATACATTCCTGGGAAGTTGCAATCTCATCTATACAAAGAAAACGCTAGGATATAGCCCAAATTCGCCTGGCGTCTCTCGATTTAGGGCGAGTCCTTATATCCTGCCAATGTAAATCAAGGAAGGCCAAAAGCTTGCGGTTGCGAGTTCCGGTTCAGGTGGCCAGACCGGCGACCTCCCCAACCAGGCCGAACTGATGGGGGCAGCTCCCCGAGTTGGCCTGAATCCTTTTTCAGAAAGTCTTACCGCTTCTGGGACGTTCAATGAGCACGCACACTTCCCTGGGAAAGGGAAAGCCTGTCCGGCATATCCGAGCTGAAGGGGAAAAACAAAGGGATCTAGAGGTTCGGAGCCAAAACTGCAAATGCGGTTCTTGTCTCCCTTCCAGGAGAAAGTTGTTGCGCCTGTCCGAGCCGTTTTGCGAGCAAAACTGCGGACTGTTTATATGTTTTGAAGACCCCTTTGCCGCCACTGGCCTGCAACCTTCTCACTGGCACGATCAGATCTTCCCGATTTGAGCGAATCGGCGTTCCTTGTCTAATTAGTGAGATTTGGGTGTGGCCTTTTTTGAGGCTACCCCTTTACTCTCGCGGGGTGAAAGGGAAGCCAAACCGTTTGGCCGTCCAACAAGTACGATTGCATGAGGGGCTCAGCAATGAAATGATCCTTGTTGCTGCTCAAGTGTTTGCCCGGGCCAGGTGACAAGATGCATTTTCACCATCACTGCGCTTTGCTGAAAGCTTTGTCGACATGGCACGAAGTAGGTGTTTGGGAAGCTTGCTGCAGTTGAATTCCTTGACTCTGCATGCTGGCTCCCGAGTCAAGGCTTTGGCCAGCGCCGGGTGTCAAATTTCCCAAACACCTGCCTGGGCTCTCAATTCCCCTCTCAGCCATCCGAAAAGCAACCTGCCCGCACTCTGAGCATCACTTTTGTCAAGCTTGAGGGGAACTGACTTACCCCCTTGGCCCAGGGCCAAGAAAGCGGCAAGGAGCCGCAAAACGGCAAGCCAAGGGGGTGCCGTAGCCGGAACCTGTGCCTCGGAGATCGCGTGCTGGGCGGACAGAACGTGAATGAGAACCAAGGATTAGTGTCGGCCTGGTCGAACAATCGGGGGGTGTCCGATTTTAGAGGGGAACCTGTACGTTGGGAATGCCCCGTAGCGATCCACAAATTGATTTGTCTGGCGTCGACATGTCCAGTCTGTCAATTGGAAGGGACAGCTGCCTTACTCAGCCTTGCACCAGAGACATTTGTGAATCCCATGTCCCTTACTGGTTTTGAACCTCCGACAGTGGCAACCATTTCCCCTTGGTTTCTATGCAGAACCGGCATAGGTGACCAACCGCTTATCCATGATGCCGTTCGCCATGAGCTAATGATCAGTATGAGAATGTCAAATGTCCAAAACTTAACATTAAAAATAACCGTACCAGAGTCTAAATGGGGGGTGCAATTGTTCAAACAGAGCAATGTCGGCAATCACACGCTTAAACAAAGGGTATTCAATACGTA